GATCCACAGCCCTGATGGTGTAATCAGATTTCTGCCTTCCATCTAAATAATGCGGATATATTATAGTTCTAGGCATTTCATTAAAGTGAACTGTATGCAGACACCATTGCAGAATGTTGATGCTCTTCCAACTAAAAAATTGAATGGATTATTTTTTCCTTTTTTCTGATCTTCTCTGATTAATGGAACTAAAACTTGATTTAAAGCTGCTGCCTTATTCAGTTGGAATAAAATGACATCTCTAAGGGCTACTGCTGTTCTTTTGACTTCCTAAAGGGAGAACTTAAACCAAAACAATCTTCAACACTAACTCCATTGAAATTTTAATATGCATTACTATTTTTCCTAACCTTTTGGGTTTGGGGACTTTATGTCAAACAAATTTGCAAAAGATGCTCAGTTGAACATTAATCTGAAAGGCATTTAGACTTCAGGATATTGTGTAATAGGACCTTGGTAAATCCTGTATATTTTCAGCATGGAGATTTTTTTAAAGTCTATAATTAAGGTGATCCTGAGGGAGAAAAAGGGATGACGCAGGACTCCCATATGGTAACTTTGGGTCCTTCAACACATCAGTATGTTTACCAGAAACTCTTAGGTCTTTGTGGGCAGATGGAAACCAGAGGGGAGATCTACAATTCACTCCTAAGGAGTGTGCAGTAGTAAAGCTACTTATTTTATAAGGCAGAATATAAAATATTTCAGATAAAGATGCTGCTGTTCAGCTTCTTTATTCAAAGCGATCCGCTTCAAAGGTAGTCCTTCTGATTGTTATTTTCAAGTACGTCTGTAATCTTGTCTGAATTCCCGAGTTACAGTCAAATTCAGGGACTAAAACATTCAAATGTGGAGTTATGAATAAATTGTTAATATAAAGTGTTTCTCTTTATGTGCTCTGGGGGTCTAATTTATCTGGAGCTCTTTTATAACATCTATACGTGGTTGGGGAGAATGAGAAGACACAAATTTTCTCACCACATCGTTACAAATTTAATGCAGCAAACAAGAATTTTATGTAAATAATTAATAAAAAGATGAAGTCGAAATGAAAAAAGTGAGCAAAATTTAAGATTTCCCTTAAAAACCCTTGACATGGACTGAATAGAAAAGACTGGCTTTTGAACATGTTTGCTTTTCCAACTTAACTTGGATGTTTAATTGTTTGGCATAGAGTTGATTCACTGCATAGAGAGTATGTTTCGGCTTATTTGTAAAATAAAATACTTTAACTTGGCATAATTCATTATATAGTTATTATTAGGCTGAGTAATGTTGTTCTAATATAAACCGAGGTCTTTTTCATCCCATCTAAATACTTTAAACATCGACAGATTTTTACGTGAAGCAGATTAGTTTTTCAGAGCATTAGTCAGTTAGGAACCCCCTTGGTCAGGGGTCTGCAACCTTTTATATGCAAAGAGCCATTTTGCCCTAAATCTAGCAGAGTAAAAGTCAGTTTTTGTTGCCATAATTCCATGACTTTAAAAAAAAAAAAAACACAACATATTATGTTTTGTTAAATATCTGACATGAGAAAGAAAAGAAAAAGCGATTCATAAAGACAAAGCCTGGATTATTCTCTATAGGCTATTATTTGATGTAAAAGAATCATTTTAGAATGACTGATTTCCAAGCTAATTAGATAAAAACTGGCTCTAAAAACATATTTCCTCTTTAAATGTCATTCTGAAATAAAAATTCAATTAAAATATTTTTTTTATCAAAACCACTAAAGCTTCTAAGACTGGTATGTGTTATTATATTTCACATTTAGTTCTAAATATTGTTTTTAAGCTACTATTAAAAGCCATGGTACTAAAGCAAAAGAGCTTATCTGTATTTGTGTTGACAGCTTTGATCTCATAACATCCCTCTTTTTTTCTTTCAAGCAGAAAATTTCTAAAAAGCCTTCAACAGTTTTTTTCCTTCCAGGTGTCTGCAAGTCTGTTGCATTATGTAATCCTCTCTTCCTCTGCAGGACGACATGAGCGACTCGCTGCGGGATTACACCAACCTCCCGGAGGCCGCCCCGCTGCTCACCATCCTGGACATGTCTGCTCGTGCCAAGTACGTCCGAGACGTGGAGGAGATCACGCCGGCCGTCGTGGAGCAATTTGTTAACGAGTTCCTGGCTGAAAAGCTCAAACCGGAACCCATCTAAAGAGGCTTAGAGCAGGAAATGGACATGCTAAAAAAAAAAAATAATAATAATAAAAAAATAAAAAGACTGTCACCCATCCCTGATCTGCTCACACGCCTCTCTGTCTATTCGTGCTTTCATTCACCTCCCCTCCTGACTGTTAAATTTACAAAATGTCTCCTTCCTACTGGCATTTTAACATCTTAAAAAACATTTTCCTATTTCATGGAGTCCTCTCTTTCTCCCGTGGTGCCTTGCATAGTCCATACAGTAATATATGAGGAGATTCTGTATTTGTTTTTTGTTTTTTTTATACACATAATGGCATTTCTGATTTGTATAGACAACCTGAGGATCACACAATGGACCTACTTATTAAAGCTGATGCTTTGCTTTCTGTTTTCACTGCAGATTTGTGTTCCTTTAGGTTTCTGAATGACGCTGAGAAAGAATGCAATGCAGCTGTGCAGTAATCCATCCGCATATCAGCGGGCAGTTGGATGTAGCTGTAGACCTATTTAAAAAGCCATGATGGGTGCTCAGACATTAAACAGTACGCAGCCTGCTTGGAACAGACTGCCGGCTGACTGCGGCGTGTCACCAGTTGTTAGTGCTGATTTCATCTCAAGGTCATTTTGAGGATTTTCTGTGAAGGTCCACTGAAGGAAAGAAAAAAAAAGGACAGGATGTGCTGCAGCCTCCAAAAAGAGGCCTTTTTGAGAAGCGTCAAATGTATAAACTGTTATTCTCTGTTACTTCAGCCATGACTTCTCTAACACATTAAAAACTCACTGGCAAGAACAAAGTTCTGTCCTGGATTTTCTTATTTTATGTTACAAGACGTGAACCAGGTATTGTTCCAAATGTTTAAAGGAACTTGAACTTACAACATAAAGTACAGAGTCTTTAAATTAGAAGGTTTTACAGATGAAGACAAATCAACTGTTCATATTTAAAGTTTCTAACTGATTTAAAGAAAGAGAAAGCAGCACGGTTGTATAGTGAGTAAAAATGAAAAATGTTGTGCTGCAAATCTCAGGTAAACAATACAGATGATTAATTGACGCTTATCAGTCATCATTCCTGAAAAACAAAACGTTGGTCTGAATAAAACGAAACCTGCAGCGCAATGCTTCAAATTAATAGAGACAGAAACTAGCAATTATTGTAGTGAAGGAGCTGAACCTGCAGGTCATCAGAAGTCACTAAACTGAAATGGAAAACCTCTCAATTTTCCCACAGAAGGCATCTTGGTGAAATCTTATGACTTAAAGCTGATGAAACCCACTAAATGCACATTTATTTTATTTTTTTTTTTGTATTTTGATATGTATATATATATATATATATATATATATATATATATATATATATATATATATATATATATATATATACACAGACAAAGGAAAAATACAGGGATGTTATGGTCTGTGATCAGAGTGAAGACTGCTGACTATTTAGAGTGGTCTATTTAAGCATATCAATGGAAAGTTAGGTGGAAGGAAAAAGGTGTTTCAAGAGCCACCAGAGGAGGATATATCCAGGACATGGACTACTGCCTGTTAACAAAGTCCTAGACCAGAGATGCCACTAAAAGCATGAATGGGCTGGGAGAATAAATACTATACTGTTCTTCAAAGACCCAAAGTCCTATTTTAAAATAGTAGACTTTTTTTCAGTCTCATTTAAAAATATAGACTCAAAAGAAAAAAGGGGGAGATAATCCCAACTATCATAGATTCAGTCAGTGATGATTTTGGGAGGCATGACCTCTGATTTCCTTTTTCCAGTATGACTGGGGATCTGCCCCCACTGCCTTAAGTATAAATGACTGGTTTAATGACTAATTGTCCTGACCCAAAAACTACAGAATACAAATGCAGTGTTAACAGCAATATGAGGAAAAAAGCGGATGGCCCTGATATAGATTCAACCAATGAAATGTTCAAATATAATTTAATATTTAATATTAAAAATACATAAAGTCAGGATTGGATTGTCTGGTCAAATACTAAAATATTTGAAATAAAATGTTAAATATTTAATATTTTCAAAATCCTACAATAAAGAAAAAAAAGTTTGTTCAGGAATTATTAAAAACAGAACAAATGGTTTTATAGGACATAAAATCTGGTTCCAGAGAAGAAGCCTTTGATATTGAACAGAAAACAGAATCTGATGTTTTAAACACAAGTAGGTGAGATTCTTAGCCTTTCTAGTTAATTAAGAAAAAAAACATGAAAAGTTGTTAAAAAAAAGTTGTTTTTACAACTATTTGGTAAATCCACATTATATATTTAGCAACTTAAGTTTTCAAAGTAAAGGAGCACTAGCTGCTTCTGTTCCAGAATGACAGAAAGAAATTAAAACAAAACACTTCTGTAGCAGCAGGATTTTATTAAGATATGATGTAACTGGATTAGTCCCAACTATGCTGCACTGTGCTGAAAAATGATAAATATGAGTGTAGTACAAAGATAGATTAGTACAAAAGCTTAGTTTTCTTTAAGCAAGGCCTTTATTTACTTTTAATAAATAATTAAAACATGCAAAGGGAGTTGCTGCAAAGCATTGAGTGTTTCTACTGTCCAGTACATGGACATAAGAAAAACAAAAATCCAAAACATTGAAACAAAAATTGACAAAACAAATCCCCAAAATATTGTGCATTAAATATAAAGGAGAGTTTTACCTTTTGTTATTTTATCACCCTACAATTTCTTATTAGATTTGGCACCAAAGAATTGCTCTAAATGGATTTATTATGGAAGTTATTTCCAATCTTAAGAAAAAAGCCTAAGCTTGGCTCTCAACTACTAAGATTATTTTTACAGATAAGACAAGATGTTCCACATTTTAGGTGAAATTCATCAGTTTATTGCAGAGAATTACCAAACATTATACATTTAGTTCCACCTTGAACAATTATGAGAGCTTTCTCTCTGCCTTAGACTCCAGTCTCTTCTTCCCAGATGTCTGCAGGAGCTTTAGCAGCTGCCTCCTGCCCTCAAACAAAAGGATACTAGCAGCCATGGCTGAGTTCAAGCTGTCCACTCCTGGAACAACAGGAATAAAGACTCTATAACCATTGGTTTTCTCCGCCAACTGGACCGCCTCTGTACTCAGACCATGTGTCTCTCCACCAATCACCAGAGCAGCGGGACTCTGAGCCCAGCTCTCGAAGTAGACCTTGGGTTCCAGTCTGGGGAGGGAAATCTCCTCGTCTTCTGACTCTGAACCTGAATCTGAATGGTATTCCTCGTACTTCATCTTTTTCCTGTTAGATGATGAGCTGATCCAACCATAATCTCCTGGTTTGGAGAGCCGTGGAGTCCTATCATCCTCTTTGTTTCCTCTTAGTTGATGACCGCAAGAACTGTCAGCCACGTGCACAGCCACAGCGTTAGAGAAATGGTTTTTTATCTCATCCCAGTCCAGGTTGTGAAAAATAGGGAGTCGGAAATGGGCGCCCATGGCAGCACGAAGGACTTTAGGCTCCCAAGCATCAACGCAACCTGTTGATAAATAAAACAATCAGTTTCCCTAAATAGAAAAAAAACAATGTAATAATTATGGAAAATTATTTAAAGTTTAAAAACTATCAAATTAGTGATCCATATAAACCCGTCTATCCATCAATCTTCCTATAGTCTGTGGCATTTTTCTATTACGTTAGGGTGAGTCTTTTTAGTCATAATATTATAATGGTCTAAAAAGAAGATTTCAAAGTTAAAGTTCATTCTCTAGATTCAAACCTTCCACTGTCAGCAGTTACCTTTGCTAAGAAGGACGTCATGGCAGCCAGCTGCTGCAGCACATCGCAGCATGGTCCCCAGATTCCCAGGATCACGGACATTGTCACATATCAGGGACAACGGCATCGACTGACCTCTTTGTAAATAGTTCAGCCGTGAAGGATCAGGCCGGGAAAATATAGCTGCAGAACACCAACAAAATCTACTTAAAAAACACTTAATTATCTGTACTTGATTACTAAATATCTGATCCTTACCGATCACTCCCTGTGGAGCCACAACATCCGACCAGATCTTAATATCCTCAAACTTGACTTTGACAATTGATGCCCCCCTCAGCTTGTCCAGTGGCAGCTCCCGGAGCCGATCCAGAGAGCTGAAGAAGACGGTCTGTGGGCGAGCGCCGGCCTCCAAAGCATCACAAATCAAACGCCTGCCCTCCAGGAGGATTTTCCCCTGGTGCTCCCGAAATGTCCTGGATCGGGCAACGCTGACTAACCTCCTGCAGAACAGCAGTACGTAGATAAGCAAATGAATCCTCTTTGTTTATAATCCTAGTCTGTTCAGAAACACCTAATATATCAATTATCATAGACACGTCCCTAACATCTATTCTGGTTGATCAAAATCCACCCGACATGCATGGAAATCATTTTGGTTTTCAGACCTCAGATTAGAGGTCAAAATAACATAATCTGGCCATAATGTGACTTTAATAGTGATTTACTTAAAAACATAAATAATAAGGCATAATTTAGGTATGATTTGACAGACATGAGCAGAATGGTCACCTGGCATGATTTTATTTTTAAATGAATGAAATCTAGTCTTTCAGGATGAATCTTAAAAGCAGGAATGATTACTCTAGTTTAAATTCGATAATCTGCGTCTGAACGAGGCTGTAGGGCTGTCAGAGGTATTGAGACTCAAACACTGTTTCCAGATAAAATGCTAATTTGACATGGTATCTATACTTAACACAAATGTAGATATTTATTTTAGATTTCTGGATTATTTGTGCATTTGAAGAATAATAACTCACACTACCTAAAATATTTTTATTAAATTGTGTTATATTTGGGTTATTTTACATTTAATTGAACACATTTTTTAAACTAATAAAATCTCTGATTCTTTTAAGAAAGAATCTTCCGTGTCAAAACTGAAAACGGTGCGTTCTTTATTATATTATGCCGTTAATTATTTGCCGTTTTTTCATCCCCATGATATGCAAAAAATAGTATTGAGTGTAGATATTTTTCTGGATATGTATAATAAGTTTGAAATGTTAGTAACTTGGCAACTCTAAGATGTTGTTTTCTGATTAACTATGAACTATTTTTTTTTTTAACTAAAGCATTTTTAAATGCCATGATAATCACATTTAATCATTTCATGCCAATTAAGGCCCTAATTTAAAATATAATAATTTAATGACTTTTAATTATTTTTAATGACCCGTGGAAACCCTGATTCACAAACATGAACATACAAACAGGTAATTCATACAATAATAAAAAAATGTATTTAGAGATGACTTTTATTGAGTTTATTTCATGGTGCATTGAAAACTAAATCTATATCCTTTACCATTACTTATACCACTGAAGAGTTTTTAAATTGTACATTATAATCACACCTGTAAAGTACTCTAGTTGGATTTTATGTAACAAAAGCAGCATAGAGTTGTAGAGTGGAGTTCAAATAGAGCTGGTTTGTTGTTAATCATGACAGATGGAGATAGGGAAGGCAAAAAAACTACAATAATCTACATCACCTAAACACAACACCCCTACACAAAAACATGGCGGTGGTAGAGTCATGCTGTTACTTGGATTATTATTATTAGGAGGATAAGTTGATAGTAAAAATAATGAAAGCCTACGTTCTCTAAATTCTTACCATGGTATTTGATTTTATTTTTTTTCCGTCTGTCATATACAGTTACATTAAAAACAACTTTGTGCTTTTAATCTAGATAAATGTGCAAACAATTATTAAGCTGTTCAATAGAATAACAACTTCAAAAAGGTCAGTATGACAGCTATGTAAAATCAGCTTGTATAAACACCTTTTGCAATGGCGTAGGCCCTTAAGCAACATTATCTGAGAGCTCCTTCCAGCAGCTCTTCTTTGCTTTTTCTTTTCTGGAATCCGCTTAAGTACTTCTTATTGGTATCGATCGTCGCTTACACATAACGGCTGTGGTTTTAATCTACGTTCTGGATTACCCATAATTCCAAGCGGGAGTGTAAAGAATAAAATGCTCAAATACATCGTTCTTTTAAGATCTTTATTGTGTTTTGAAACATATTATATGAGTGTATTTATTACCAACCGTCTAATGAACTATACACAGTTATTAACATAGTAATTAAAAGAACCACTGTCACCATTATGTAGAAATCTAAGCATTGTTGGGGTATAAATACAGCCCGGTCAGGCAATCATCCATTGTGTAGGTATAAAAGAATTTTTGGCACCATTACATCTGCAAAGAGAAATCCTAAACCACAAAAGTGTAAGGGGGTCGCTAAGCAACTGCAGTCTCTGCTTACCGATATTTACACCATTGACGTTTTAGAATACTTTCTATAATAAAAAAAAAAAATTAGAAATAGACACATTGAGCACAACTTTCCGCTGCCCGTTTTACTCACGATAATCTCTTATCTCCAGGAAAGGCTCTCTCGTAGCGCAGTCCTTCTACCTGGTCCGCAGTGATGGTGAAATGGGGATGCTTTGCGGTTTCACTCCTGGTGTTAGCAGGGTCAGTCCTGTCAGGATGCCTCGTTGGAGCTGCAGGACTGTTTCCTTTCACCTCCTGCTTCGCTGCCAGAGCATCAGGCCGAGAAGGCAGCGGCTGTTTGGGAGCTTTAGCCGCTTGGTCCTCAAAACTCAGCACCTTGACAGGTTTCCTCCTCAGGCCGCGAACAAAGCGCTTCGGATCAACAATAATATCGCTCCTTGAAGAAAGAAATACGGATTCTTCTATTGGGAACAGAAGTCTCACGCCTCGTAAGAGCGCAGCCATTTTTATTACTTCTTCTCTCCAAAACATTAAAAAGGTGCCTACTGCCACCTACCGGTAAATAACCTGCATATATACATTTAAAGGAATAGTACACCCAAAACATGATTAGCCTTCATTTTCTACTCACCCCCATGCTGAACAACACTCTGGAGTACTTTTTTGATATCTCAAATGCATCTGGAGATCTGGGAGGCTTCTTGCTGTCTGCTGACATTCAAATAATGGAGGTCTATGGTGACCGAGACAGAAAGGTCCATAAAAGTCCACAAAAAACGTGTCAATATTCCTCCATACTGCTCGTCCAATGTATTCCAAGTGTCCTGAGTGGGTAGCATCCAGAATTTACTCGAAACGAAGTCATTTAGAATGTTTTTAGAGCATAAACAGTAGTGTATAGGATTTCCTGAAAGCGCGCACACGCGCGCTCACGACGCTACGGAAGCCGGCAGACCAAACCAGCGCATTCAGCTCGGCAAAGAACTCATGCTCTTCCTCAACACTGAAGTCCTCAGATATTTTTCTTTCGTTGTTTCTTTCTTTGCACCGGTAAACAGCACATTTTAAGATTGACATTTCCCAGTATTGTTAGTACACACTCACTTTTTTATATAATATTAAACTATGTCATTTTTTCCCTCCATTAATCACCTCCTTCTGTGTATTAAAGTTGCAACAGATGTTCTCACACAAATATTATATATTAAAGTATAACTTCAGCATCATTAACTGCTTTTTTTGTCATCAAATCAAAATCCGATTTAACATTTCATAAATCCGATCTTTGAACGTTTTTTAGGTTCTTTACCTGCTTTCATAGTTCCATTCCAGTCCATCCATTCATATTAATTCATTCATTTAGCTTGCTGACCGAAGCTCAAATGTCCGAGGTAACTAGAACGCAACACTCCCATTTGTTATTGGATCAGAGCGAAATCGATCATTCAGGAAGCTTAATCGAGCTCCTTGACAGGATCAGTAAACATGGCTCTGAGACGAGCGCTACATTTCGTCTTTAAAGTCGGTGACCGCCCTAAAACAGCCACCTTTTACCGGGAAGTCCTCGGCATGAAGGTAGTAGGTCTGAGCTGCTTTAGCTGCATCAACATTTGACGGCAGTTTTTCCCACTATTTCGCTCCTTCTGATGATGATTCTGTTGCACAACCGTTACAATAGTTCCTTATTGTCCAGGATGTGAAACTGTGTTGTTATGAAAGCTTTAATATTTTCAAGTTTCTTTAATTTCCTTTAGATTTTACGACACGAAGAGTTTGAGGAAGGCTGCAAAGCAACTTGCAACGGGTATTTAATATAGAGCCAAGTCACAGCCTGCAGATGCACTTTGTACTCACAGAGCCCATTAAGCCTTTATCTTTATCTTCACCCCTTCAGCCCCTATGACGGAAAATGGAGCAAGACAATGGTTGGCTTTGGTCCAGAAGATGACCACTTCGTAGCTGAGCTCACCTATAATTACGGGGTGGGAGAGTATCAACTGGGCAACGACTTCTTGGTGAGTGAAAGTGGGTTTTAAGAAGTCCATCCATCCATTTTCGTTACACTTTTAATCCCAAGTGGGGTCGCGAGGGGTGAAAGCCAGGGTACACCCTGGACAGGTCGCCAGTCCATCGCAATGCAACATAGAGACAAACAACCAATCATACACACACTCACACTTAAGGACAATATAGAGAAGCAACAATCATGTTTTTGGACTGGGAGGAAGCCAGAGTACCCAGAGAGAACCCACGCATACTCAGGGAGAACATGCAGAAAGACCAGAAATCGAACCCAGAACCTTCTTAATGCAAGGCAGCAATGCTATTCACTGCGACACTGAGCAGCCCGTTTTAAGAAGTCATAAAGGATCATCTGTGTTGCAGCAGAGTTCAGTCCAGACCTGTGCTTATTGTTTTCTCCTTAGGGTCTTACCCTGCAGTCCAGCCAAGCAGTAAGCAATGCTAAACGCCTTGGATGGCCTCTGACTCAGGTGGAGGAAGCTCTTTATTTAACCCAAGCTCCTGGAGGATATCCTTTCTACATCGTGGACAAAGAACAGCCTGCACACGGTGAACATTTAAAAAGAAACACCATTGTGATCTAATCACTACTACTGAGTACCAGCTCTATAATTACGTATGTTAAGAAGAATTCAAAATAACTCGCACATGTTTCTAAATAATCATAATATATAGCTGTTATTAGATATATATTTTTAACTTAATGATCACAGCGTAGCTACGTTTAATCACGCTTTGTGGTCAAAGCATATAATCATTGATTATTTGTCTCTAGATCCTGTACAGAAAGTTTCCCTTGGCGTGTCAGACCTCCAGAGATCGACTCACTACTGGGCTAAGCTGTTGGGAATGACAGTGATGGACAGGAGTGAGGAGAAAAAAACGGTGCTGTTGGGATTTTCTGACTCTCAAGTAAGATAAAGAGGTGAATAAATTAGGCAAATACAGAGTATTGCCCCTAAGTATCGCCTATAATTTAGATTTTTGGATTTATGTAGTGCAAACTGGAGCTTCGAGATGTTGGAGGGAAGGTTGATCATGGAACAGCATTTGGGAGAATAGCATTTTCATGTCCCATAGATCAGGTAAACTGCTGAGAGAGAAAAAAAACAACTTATTTTCTTGTTTATAGAAATATGACTGGGGGTTAATGTTTCCATTTCATAGCTGCCTGATATTGAAGCCTTGATGAAAAAGGAAAATGAAAAAATCCTCACCCCCTTGGTCAGCCTTGACACCCCTGGGAAAGCCACAGTGGAAGTGGTTATTCTAGCTGACCCTGTAAGTGTCTACAGAAAAAAAAATGTTTTAATCATTTAGAATTAAATTAAAGCATGAAACCTTTGTTGTTTTTTTAGGATGGTCATGAAATTTGCTTTGTTGGAGATGAGGCCTTCAGGCAGCTCTCTGCTGTGGATCCCAAAGGAAATGAACTGCTTGATAAAGTCAGAATTGTTTTAGATTTCACACTTCATGTAAAACCAAGTGTAAATGCTGCTTAACTGTCTTTTTTTATGTGATTGTTTTTGTTTTTTTAGGCTATGGCAGAAGATAAAAGCGATGAGTGGTTTGCCAAACACAATAAACAAAAAGCTGCTGCCTGAGACAAAGGAGGCCACGGCGGATAACTTTGGACCATGAGATTCTGAACAAGGCACCATTAGAGAAATATGTTTCATAACATCATCTCTATTCTGCTGTATTATTAAGTTAGTTTTCTAAAATAGGAAACTAATAATAAAAAAAATCTGAAAAGTGTGGTACATTTTTATTTATTCTTCACTTTTTAATCTCCAAGTAAAACACATTTAAAAACTATTCTTAAAACTTCCTTTTATTTGTAAGCAAAGTCTAGGTGTGTGATTTCATTTCAGTGCACAGTTGTTGTGAGAAGGCTTTAGACTTTTGTTAGATGACATCATGAAGACCAAACAAGATGGGAGTTGTCAAGAAACAAGGAGAGCAATAATCAGAGGCACAGTCAAGAGGTCTAGGATAACTGTTGGAGAACCGCTGAGATCTGCTGCTCAGTGCACAGAATCTGTTGGCAAATAGTTGTGCATCTCACTAATCTGGTTTTTAAGGAGAAACCCACTATAATCCCTTTCACAGGCCACATTAAAGACGGCAAACATGTTCTAGTTGGAACAAAATGCCATATTTGGATCAATTGCAAAGGTCTGGTGGAAGGTTGAGAATGCACATCACAAATCAGCCACAAGTGTTTCATTTTTAACATGGAAATGAAACACTTTGCATGCAAATTATCAAGGTTGTACAGTACCATTAAGATTAAAATTGGTAAAAAGGGCAACTTTGTACTAGAAAGTTTTCTACTGAAGAGAAAAAAAAAGTTAACTGATTTTTAAATATTTCAGTTTAATATGGGAAAAGTCAGAATTCTGACTTTTTTTCTCAGAATTATGACTTTTAACCTCAGAATTCTGATTTTTAATCTCAGAATTATGACTTTTAATCTCAGAATGTTGGATCTTAATGTAGATGGTCACCATGAAGGAAGAGATGTGGGAGCACTCGGCCTCACTGACAAAGATGTGAGTTGTTTGAGAGAGCCAGTGACACATTGGTGGAAAATTACGAAATTAGGCGACTTATGTACCCAAGTGGTCCCTGGTGATTAATTAATGGAAGAGCAGAAGGTTATTAAAAAAAGAGAGAGTTTAGTCTCTAAACCAGACATGGCTACGGCTTGATGCTAACATGTTTGTTAGCTGTCAGAATTCAGTTAGAATTCTGAGATTAAAGTCTGAATTCTGAGAAAAAAGACAAATTCTGATATTGCAGTCAGGATTCTGAGATTACAGTCAAAATTCTGAGAAAAAAGTACAAATTCTGAGATACAGTCTGAATTCTGAGATTAAAGCCAGAATTCTGAAATTAAAGTCAGAATTCTGAGATTACAGTCAGAATTCTGAGAAAAAAATCAGAATTCTGAGATTAAAGTCAGAATTCTGAGGAAAAAAAAGTACGAGTTTTGAGGAAAAAATTCAGAATTCTGAGAAAAAAGTACGAATTCTCAAATTAAAGTCAGAATTCCGAGATTAAATTTAGAATTCTGAGATTAAAGTCAGAATTCTGACTTTTCTGTCATACTGAAATGAAAGTTAAAAAGTCAGTTAACTTATTTTTTTGCCACTGGCCCTAATCCTCTTCCGTAGTTTTCAGTAAACTTGTGTTATTTATTTTCTTAATCAGTCCAAGTGAGAAGTCGTTGAATTGTACAGGATAAGTCCAGTGAGAAAGTTCTTGTTTGGTGTCAAATGATGTGCCAGCTGGGCGGACCAGAACTGAACCGTGTTTACTGAGCAATCATCTGTCTGTAAACCTGCTCTCTCTGCGGCATTTTGCAGGGACAGCCCGCTGCTTTCAGCTATCTGGGAGGGTGAGCCTGCTAATCAACAACAGACAGCCAACACTGACCACAAATATTCCCAGTTCCTACAAATAACCAAGCTAATTAGTGTTTAGTCGCGCGGCTGTGCTTAAACCGTTGGCACTAGCGTTAGCACGCTAGCTTGTTAGCATCGATTTGCTGCTAATTTATTTTTTCGTGTGACGCGGCGTCTAAAGTGTTTAACTGTTTCGTGTGAGGCTAGCTCGTTTTAACGCTTTCACCTCGTTTTAACATAATATATTTTTATTTCAGTTTACAGCCAGCGGGTTTTGGTAAATTTCTCTTCGTTAGCTAACTTTACAAAGTTTAACTACGTGCTATGTGGCAGTCCCCTCAAACTATTACTGCAACATTAGCACCGTGTGGCTGATTCTGAAAGTTAACCAGTCTCTAAACGCTCACAGGATATGTACTGCTTGTGTTTTACATTTAGCAGACACGTTAATGACACCGTTATGGCTTCCTCTTTGACAGCAGCTGATGGCAGATAAGCGCCAGCCACACTCATGTCCGAGGATCTGGGTGTGAAACAACTCGAGACACAATGTCTCTCGTCCTGATATCCTTTCTTCTAGCGGTCCTGCTCGGCCTCTTGTTGCTCTGTATCGTTTCCAGGTAAGATCTGCCATGTTTTATGTGTAAAACCTCACAGGTTTGGATCTAAACACGGTGGGTTTTGGTTCCAGATGGCTGATCTGCTCCCTGGTAGTCCGGATCTTCCAGGCTGCTGTGAATGCTGAGCTGAAGATCAAATCAGTGGGGCTGTTTTCTGTCCAAGGAGTCAGTATCCAGTTTCACCCTCAGCATACACTGGTAAGGAAAACATGACATTTATCATGTGAGCTGTGACTGATCCAGGAATACATATGCATCTTAAGAAGTTTTAATATTATGGAAAAGTTAGTTTTCTTTAATTCAGCGTTGAAGCTCATTATATAGATTACACTTTTATTCTATTTTTAGCTGAATATAACTAATTGCCTATGAGTTTCTCTGAAAAAATTAATAATGAAATAAGTAAATATGTTTTTACACAGTAAATATCAAGTCCAAGTTTTCCAAAGAACTTTAATGATAATTTAACTTTATTGATCTCACACTGGAGTAAGTTATCTCTGCATTTAACCCATCACCTTGGGGAGCAGTGGGCTGCCGTTGTGCGGCGCCCAGAGAGCAGTGTGGGGTAATGGGGGTTTGTTTACACTCCCCCACCAGCTTTCTGTCGCGCTTATTACGTCACAGTCAGTTGCGCTTATTGGTCAGAGCGTTGGCCAATAGGCACAGACATGGTTTAAAAAAAAACTGGTTGTTCTCATCAGCAATCCTCCGATGTCTCATTCATCAGGGCCAGACTAAATTACTTATTTAATCTCACATTTAGTCTGGTTTATTAAAGGAGAAGTTCGGTTTTTTACACTTTAAGCCCATTTTCTGTAGTGTCCAGGATGAAATCGAATGATCGACACCAAAAGTTTGACAATTGGTCCTGTCTCTGCTTTTTGGCTCATTTAGAATCCACCCCTGACTGCTTTAGAATGGCTTGCATAGAGCATGTCCGATAATGTCCTTAAAACAACCTTAAACGTTCTTTTTTTTAAATATGCTACTCACCGGGTCGTCAGCGCTGTTCAATGACGTTCCAAAAAAAGTTTCGTAAAGAAAAAATGTTCCTGTAGTGTTTTATTTAGCATTTTGTAAATCCCATTGAGTTCTGTAGGAATAGTCAATATTCCGCTGCCACCGGAAACGGAAATGGAGCCTGTTTACACAGTTGTAGTCTTTTCGCTTCACTCTGTGTACTCCGACGTCGAGGTGCTAACGTCTCTGTTAAACACTTTAAAAAACTCTGAAAATGGAATACGAAAGGTGGATTCTTGATTCTCGACGTCGGAGTACACAGAGAAGCGAAAAGACTACAACTGTGTAAACAGGCTCCATTTCCGTTTCCGGTGGCAGCGGAATATTGACTATTCCTACAGAACTCAATGGGATTTACAAAATGCTAAATAAAACACTACAGGAACGTTTTTTCTTCACGAAACTTTTTTTGGAACGTCATTGAACAGCGCTGACGACCCGGTGAGTAGCATATTTTAAAAAAAGAACGTTTAAGGTTGTTTTAAGGACATTATCGGACATGCTCTATGAAAGCCATTCTAAAGCAGCCAGGGGTTGATTCTAAATGAGCCAAAAAGCAGAGACAGGAGCAATTGTCAAACTTTTGGTGTCGATCATTCGATTTCATCCTGGACACTACAGAAAATGGGCTTAAAGTGTAAAAAACCGAACTTCTCCTTTAAGCTACAGAGCGGAGGCTGTGGGGATCAAACAGGGTACTTGCACCCTTCTTAGAGCACAAGCACACTCTCTACAATGAGTTACTTCCCTGTTACTGCACACATTCACACACTTTGATGATGAACTACGTCGTGTCCACAGCTGCCCTGGGGCACGCTGATTGAAAAGACACTGCTGTACAGTCCCCCTCTGACAACAAATAGCAGAGCAGGAGCTCAAACTAACAACTGTTAGTGAACAACATTCAGTTCACAGACCTCCTCTAATAAATTATAGGCCAAAACACTTCTTCATTAAAGGAAATTAATTAAAAAAAAGTGCTTTATGCATCTAACTAAATTAATCAAAATGTGTTTAATTTTTTGAGCTGTCAAATAGCTGTACTCTCTTTTTAACCTACACTGTGATCATTCACTTAATAAATACTATTTCTACTGTCTTGGATCAGGAAATAGACAGAATATGGATTTCAAGTCGACTTCTAAACCAGGATTTACCGTAAGTTATACTCTACTTTCGCAGCTTTGTAATAAGTGATCAAAGTAAGTGTTAATAAGTGTTAATTTATAACGGCGAGGGACTGAGCTGTTTTTGCTGTTTTGTTTCAGGCGGTACCTTGCATTATGTGTTGGTGACGTCCGGGTTAGGTTTGACCTTCAGGTGCCGCTGGGCCCACTGGTAAAGACCGGACATGGAAAAAAATCAAAGAAGGCTTCAATCAACCCCAAAACACTTAGCTTTCTGTCACAGGTATGTTGACTCCCTATCGTACGGCGCCAAAGCCTTTCTCTGTCTAACTGACTGTAAATCTCTTGTGCTCATAGCTCCTGTCATTCCATATCAGCTCAGTTAACGTGGTTGTCTTAAACCTGGCTCTGTCAGAGTCTCTGTGGCACATGACAGTCACAGGTATCACATTTTTGCTTGACCATCAAAGTAAAAGGTAAGGATTTACACACTTCTTTTTTTCTTATGAGCTTTCTTTGAAGAAAGTAAAAAAAAAAAAATTGTTCAACTTTCTTTTTTTCTAAATTTCCCTCAAGGTTGTCATGGAACTTCTCAGTGGGGCAGCTAAGCAGTAAAGTGCTCAAAAGCAGCCAGTTGGTGAGCTTGTTAATCCGTTCTGGTCACTAAAGCTGGTGAGTGAGTGTCACTGACGTTCTCTTTATTGTAGGATATCTGTTTGGCTGAGCTGGCTCTTAGCCTGCTGCTGTCGGGGGATATGACCCTTCCAGAGATGAGACCAGGCCATGTGTCTCTGAATGTGAGGACCCTTATAGGAGAGCTGCATGAGGGCTTGTTCCTCACCCAACTCCTTCTGCCACCCAAGTCCCAGAAAAACCAGGATCATGCTGTATCTGGTGAGCAAGGTCTTTTTTTAAATTTTTTAAATGCTAAATTACAACAGATTCATATAATGTGACAAAAATGTTTATTTCAAACACAATTCAACTAAGTTTAAATGGAACACATGTTTTTTCATGTTTTAAGGCATGCAAAAATGCTTATCAGTCTGCAGCCAAAGATCCATCACTACTGGATTTAGGTTGATAGTTGGAACATCCTGCAGACTGATCACAGAATAAAAATAGCCTTAAAGGTATAGTAAAGGATGTTCTTGTATTTTCTTTTTAAAGTGGAGAGGGCGGGTCTTCATAAACTTGTTAATATCCTCTACTAAACCTCCATAGTATGAGCTTTGCCTCCTTCATAACTAGCTACCGTTTGTTGTTTTTGCATATTTTTAAACTTTTAGATATTTTCTATAATCTGAGATTTTTTTAACCCAGCAGAGAAACTGTATCAGGTTGTCGTGGGGTCAAACTGACATCTGCATCTTTACTGGTTGAAATAATTATAAATGCTTTTATTAAATATGTATTTGCCACAAATAAATGCAAATTAAGAAAATATATATTTTTCTGCCTTAGCGCATATAGTCAGCCTTAGTTACTGATTTTTCCACAGAAAGAGGCCTTTTATACATCTGTGGGGTGGGTAAAAATAACAAATAAAATTTATGGTTGGTAAAATGCAGCCAGTAGTTTAATTAAAGCAGAGGCTGGAGATTCTTTTACTTCAGGGTCAGAATCTCAGAACTGTTGATTCCTAAACTATTTCATAGTTATTAAGACTGAGGACTGCAAAAGACTTCATTCATGCTACCAAAGAAAAGGGGACGAAATACAGATATGCTTCATTCTTTATTTCTAGGAAATAGTTAATTACATTTCAAAGTAATGAATATTGGGCTGTCAGAAACAACTCCTTTTAAATGCATTGAATTAGAGGTCGTAACAGGGCGAAATGTAAATCGGTTCAAAAAGTAAAGGGATTCCAAATAGGGATACTAAACTTCAGGTGCAATTTTTTTTTGTATTAGAATAGGTGGGTGTGATACAGGTGATCTACAAAGATTGCTGTGCAAATATGAAGACGTGCAAACTGGTTTGGTTCCACTCATTAAAATGAGCACATTAGGTGTTCCACAAGCAGTTTGAGAGCAGCTATAAAATAAGTATGAGGTTCAAAGCCAGGAAGGTGGAGGTAATAATGATCTTTATTACCTAAAATAACAATGATACTAAATAAAAGTTATATACAGGTAGCATATTTAAAGTGTTGCAAACTAAAGTTGGGGAAAAAAGTTCAAGAAGCTCGGTTATATACAATGAGGAAAAAGATCCTTGTTGCAACAAGTAAAATATGTGCATTTCACACACACACCCCACGTCTCTATGTTGGTTCTTTGGAAATTCTATTATTTTATTAACATTCCACAATATATAAATTAACTTCTTTTTTTTTTTGGTTTGATTGTATATTGATTATCTTGTCTGTTGCATTAATTTATGCCACACTGTATAGACCTTTATTATTATTCTACTGTTGTTATTTTTAAGGTCCACATTTGTTAACAATCTCTGTTCGTCCTCTGGCTTTTATCAATTCCATCATTTATGGCAGCAATGGCAGCTGATATTTCTGCATGTTAGTTTTCCCCTGACTTTCAGTAGTACTAAAAGACCCAAAAGCTGTGCAGATGAATTTCAGGTTTGGAAAATTGCTTTGCTTGTGGTGAATGTTTACATTTTCATATCCTCCACCCATGAATTAGTGCGGTTTAGTCATTAGAATATGATCAGCATTTATTTATGAGGGCAAACGCACTAAAACAAAGATTGCACACACTGTCTGCTGAATTGCAGACGCAAATGACTTTGCGCCTTCTTTAAAGATCAGCTCTCTGCATACAAACATGTTAGCACCTGTTTTAAAAAACAAACCTTCGGAAGACCAGGCCCTAAATGAGAATACGGTACAACATAGATCATAAATGTGATACTGGATGATTTCTGCTTTTACATTTGCTTATCAGATTTTCTTTTTAGATGCACCTTGTGTTAAATTTTACTTTAATATTCCAACTCCTGCTTCCTTTCAGAGTGTGAGAGCATTGAGTTCCTTCAGACTGAGACTGTTGAACAATTTCATCAGCTCCTTCCTCACAAAGTCAACGTGGAGTTTGACAACACAAATGTAACCCTGTCCATGCACAGCCAGAAGCGGTGAGTCAACTCTGTACAGCAGCTTTGTCAGTTTCCTTCCCTTAGTCATTGCTCCAGCGATTCTGATAACTCTTTGATTTTTCTAATGTATAAAACCAGTTTTTTGTCTTTTTGGCTCATTGTTAACTGTCTGTTCAGACACTTGAACTGGACGCTAAAGTCTTTGAAAATGTGTTATGGACGTGATGACGAGCAGCAACCCTTGAAGAGCTTCACTCCTGAGCTGAGCTTTCCTCAGAGCAGCCTGGACCTCATCCTGGAGGGTAAGCAGACAGCCGGCCTTAAGACACACTGCATGGAGGTAGATACTAAAAAACAAAAAACAAAACAAAGCGCATTCTTGTTTTTCATCATTATTGGCAGATGGACTCCTCCTTTCTCAGAGCAGGCAGAGGATCCTGTGTGTGAACACCCTGAAGACGGTCCTGCAGGTGAGGAAGCGTCAGACATCTTCATAGACGTGTTGCAGAGAAGTGTCTGGCTTTAATGGTTATCGTCCAATCAGATTACCTCTATGGACGTCTCAGGATCCTTCATAGTCAACACCTGCATCATTCACTATCGTCACCAAGAGTTCTCCCATTGGTTGAATCTGTTTCCGTGGCAACAGCTACTCCACAGGAAGGAAGCCCACAGAAAGAGGCAAGTTTCCAAACTAATTTAGTTTCCCTGTTTTGATGGATGAAATTCCCCCACTGCTATCAAAATATTTTTAACTCCTTGTTCTACCTTCTTCCTCATCCATGTTTTTGCATTATTCACCCTGTGCCATTACCTTCTGTGTCGCATAGTCCATTAGATTTTTTTCCCACCCTCCTCTTCCTCAGACGTCTTCCTCACTTGGATGCTCCCGTGATGATCTCCTCCTCCGTGTCCAACGTCAACGTATCTGTGCAGCTGGGAGACACCACGCCTTTTGCTCTCGGCTTCATCTCTGCCAAATCAGGCATGTTTCTCACACAGCGCAGCGTGTGATCATCATACGACTAACGTTTTCACTGCTTAGGGATTATATTGTTTCTGTTAGCACTCAGTTTTTATATGTTACTCAGACAACCCTTTGTAACAATCTTTCTTTTAAGGTGACTTGTTTTGACACCCCTTCAACTTTTTCTTGTTTCTCAACTACAAACTTCTATATTTGACAGGGAATTTATGAGTTAGAGCAACACAAAGATGCACATAATTGTGAGCTGAAAAATATTCACCCCTTTTTCCCTCACCAGCAAAGAGCTGCACATCTTAAATGATGCTGCTATGCTCATTGTGAAGATGTTATGAAGCCAAATTGGGGCCAAAACCTTTGTTCAAAAAAATGTAACCTGATGAAAAACGAAAAATACCTGTGGGGAAAAAAGTAGGTTCAGAGGCTTTCACAGAACACATATACTCACATTTATACCCTCATCTAGTTATACCCAGATGGGCTGTTCTTAATAATTAGATTACTTGCAGTGGCTCCTGGTTCCACTGAATTTTATTAAAGAATAACTCAATAAAAGAGTGAGACACTGAATCTTTTTATTCTGATCTGAATTTTAAGTCTTTGAAGACAACATATGATTATTACATCTCTCAATTATGCTTAATTTGTGTTGGCCTGTCACATAAAATTTGTGTTTCTAATGAGAGGTGAATGTAAGAAAGTTGAAATGCAAAGAAAGTGAAACTTCTTCCTTAAGGTTAGTCTTAAACATTGCCTTTAACCCTGCTAACTCCTACACATTGGTGGTTTTGTATTAACAGAGCTGCAACATCTTCTAGACCTCAAGGTTGACAAAGAGAGCTTGGAGTCCCAGAACCTGCACCAGCGGGCCTCGTTGTCCCTGGATAACTTCTGGTGGAGAGTAGGTCAAGGCTCTCACATCCAGCAGGCGCCGCACCCTCCTGGTAAACATGTGTGGGGCGAAGCGCTAATTCTAGACAACTTAAGTCTTCAGGTAGGTGAGGAATGTCATGAGCAAGCCCTTTTCATCAAGGCTTGATCTTTGTACCAGTTTGTTTTTCTGTGTTCCTATGTATGTGTTGTCACCTTTAGTTAAAAAGAAAAGATAACCAGGCTCCTATGAAATTGCTGATTCCAGTATTGCTCACACAATATATTATTTTCATTTTTGTGACTTTACCTGAAAGCATCAGCAACAGTTTTGCTACATTTAAAGGCTCCTGTTTTTTAAGAAACACTGTTTATTTAATATGTGGAGCATTAATCTCAGGCTTTCAAAATCCATGAACACATTTTCTAACATTTTCAGCTTAAAAGGCCATTTAAAAAAAAAATTATGATGTAGTAATAATAATGTATTGCATTTAGCAAGATCAAGATCCTAATTAGCATGTTATCGTTTCTCAACATTGGCATTTTACTGAACAAGGTGTGAAAGATTTTAAATGGTATTAACCTCCTTATAATTAAAGCAGGAAAACCTGGACAGTTGTTTTTGTCAATCCATGGGCTATCACTGTGATATAATCAAAGGATTAATTGATTACTGAAACATATGTCATCTAATTTAGTAATCAAATAACCATTAAGAAAAGTATACAGTCTTTAAAATGTGCTGATTTTTAAAAGTACCCACTCAGGGATAATTATAGCAAACCTGTAGAATCCCCCCCCCCCCCACCCCCAACCCCCATGAAGCACCTTTTAGCATCAGAGTATTAACTGCTTATTTGAAAAACTAGTCAACACAAATTGATTAGCAGCCCTAGCTACGTATTGTTACACATTTTGTAATCGCCATCATTAAATGTAATAGTGTTACTAAATAACATGACAGATATTAATGCTGTTATTCAAAAATCTGACTTATAAAATTGGTTATGTAGAAATTTTATTATATTTTAAAACACAGAAATTGTTTTATTATTACAATATGTCGAGTTAAATTGATTGTTAAATTTTCTAAAACTGTACCAAAAAAAGTTGGTAAAAATGTTTGTTTAGAGCTTTTGTTTGAGAATTTTGTGGTTTTTAGTCTTTTGTATTTTTCATTTTCCTTCAGGGGAGCCTGAACAGAGCCCAGTCCGACTCGAGCAGCCAGCCTCCGAGCCTGAATGTGGAGTCGGGTCTGAGGGGCCTCCAGGTGGAGCTGTCAGAGACCTGTGCTCTCTGCCTCTCCCGCATTCTGTCCCTCCTACGTGTCTCAGCTAGCTCTGAACCTCTCCTGCCCGATGCGTCTCCCTCTGATGACAAATCCATCAAGTCAAGCCACTCCTCCTCACAGTTGAACCTGCTTTTTAAACTGGACTGTTGTCTGGAGGATGTGAACATTTTCACTGTCTCTAATGTGGCAGGTAACAGCATCTTTGGATTCAAAATGTTTCCGTGTCACATACTATCATTACTTAGCTTGGAAACAACAGTAATGTTCACTGAAACAAGCTGCACTTTTGGCCTTGTGCCAAAATGACATTTCCGCATAGCATACTGTCCACTAAAACCTTTGTGGAACAAACACGCTTCAAATTATTCAGTCCAAATTTGTCTGACTTATAGTGGATCTATAAAGTGCAAGGGTTCATCCAGACTTTGAAAAGGGGTTTTATGGTGTTTTGCAGCGTTTATTTTGTAAAAGAATTTGTCGAGGCTAAATATTTTTTATTTTTTTCTTGGTTTAATTACCCATTAATCAGACATGGTGACATTTAAATTAGTGGTTCCACCTGAAAACTATTCCTACATGCCTTTCTGTCGCACAAATACAAACAATTGTATTTTCAATTTATAGTTTGGGAGCTGTACTTGCTTTAATTCACATATGTAATTTCAGGTGGAATTTGCTCCTAAGACCCTCTGGGCTTAAGGGGTTAAACAAAACAAACTCTTATTTTAAAAATTTGATCTCTTAGTTTTAATAATGTGACTCCAATTTCAACCCTTCTATGATCATCCTGTTATGATCAGCTCTCCCTTCTGAGGACCCTGTGTTCTGCTTTAGGTGCTGTGTCTCTGCGCCTGGACACTGTCAGCATCCTGAGCTCTGCAGAAAGCTCCAGAGTGTCTCTGCAGGGGATGAGCTTGTCTCTGGTGAAAACTCTCACTGAGAACATGGAAACTTGCTGCCCCACCTCCCAAACCATCAACCCTGTACTCAGAGTGACTGCACTAACCGTCTGGTACCACGTCACCACATACAGCCTACAGGTAATCACAGTTTACCAAGGATGTGATTCTGCTGCAGCTTTTAGTCAGACTTTAGCTTTATCGGTATTGTATCTTGTTTGGTTACCCTTATAGAAAAGCATTTTGTGATATCAAATAAACTGCTTAGAAGTTAAGTTTAAAGGAGAAAAAGCTCTGAGGGGCGTTTCTGTGACTGTTGTGCTCATTAAAAGTCAGAATATCAGCATAATTCCAATGCAGTTCTAAACGTTGGAGCCTAACTAGTGTCTGTGCTGAAAAGCGTTGGGGAGAAAGCCCAGATGTCAAAGGGCCTCACAACAAATTTGCATGGCGGCTGGATTTTCAGCACAACTGTGCCTTTTTAAAGGGTAAAGGCCAGCTACACTGAAACACACTGAGAGAACCTTAAAGTCTTGAGTGGTCCTGGTCTCAACCCCCTTTTTCTTTTCATTCTTTGGCTCTGATCTTTACACCTTGTACTTTGTCTTTTTTGACACACTTTGTACAAATAAAAAGAGATAATAATAATAATGATATAAAGCTTGCATTCCTTTGATCTGCAGATGGATATTGCTCTGCATCTGAATTAAAAGCATCAGTGATCAGAGCTCCGCTGGTTTCCACCTTCTCAGACTAAATACACTACTGTTAATGCTAATGATGACTGAAGTGTTGTTCTGAAAATATTTACACCATGCCATTTTGATTTTTGATTATTGCTGTTTTTGACTAATTGCTTAAAAGCAGTGAATATTTACCTGCAGTCTTGCTTTCACTGAGAACACACCTGCTGCCTGATCACCAAACTCAGTTTTGAACATTATTAAATTTGCTTTTTAAAAGCATGAAGAGTTCAAAGGAAAAAAAAAATCCCTGGGAAAAGTGTAAATTCTGTCCACCTCCAGAATTAGGTAGGACCAAGTCTAGTTTTACCAAAATGGATACACAAGGAAAGTAAAAGTGGCAATTTACTTCACCCTTCAGGCAGATGTGACAATGTACTGTAAAATGTCATTAAACCCAGATGAATGAGTTTAGCGCATCTATCAATGTGCTATATGATAAACTTATCTATTAGCCTCACAAGCAAGATTTTAAATTTAGATTAAACTAAGACACCCTTTCTTTCAGCTTCTTGTATTGGGCGGACCTGACATTCCCCTCCTCTGACTTGTACCAAACATTCATTCTGACTCTAGGAGGTATTACCACTATCACTGCTCTACATGCAAAAATCCCTAAACCAGCTAATAAAGAGGAATAATGAGGCTCATTTCTTTAAATGCAAAACATTAATTTCCCTCTTTTTTAGGTCATATCCATGTAAGATTAAATATTTCCACATGGCTCTGATGATTCATTGTTCCAGCATCATTGCTTTAAATGTTAATACTATATGTTTCCATCTCCTCCTGGGTTTGTTTTTTAGAAACAAACACAGACTCTGTTGGCTCAGTCAATCATATATAAATGTTTCTGAGCAGACTTTTAAAAAAGTCCACTTTGTTTGACCTTAAATTTAAGAAATCTATTAGTATGCCCAGGAAATGCATTTTGAAGAGCTGTAAGCTTTGTGATAACCATAGTTATGAGGAAAGATAAAATATTTAATTTGGCAATACAATTTTTTGTTGTACTTTTATTTATGGTAAGTGTATTAAACAACCCTAAAAATGAAACAAACTAGGAAATACAAGTTTGCACTTTTCCATCTGAAAATGTTTAGTCATATATCTATTGCACAATGTAAACCAATTAAGTTTAAAGAATGTTTATCTATATGTTACTGCATTTAATAAGTTTAATATATTATAATTATTATTTTTTTAATAACAATAATTAGTTTTTGTAGATTAATAAACCCTTTGTACTATAATTTCTGTGACACAAAAAAACATTTTTTTGTGTTCTGAAATATTTGTTGAAATTCTAAAGATTGGGCCTCAGTCTCACTCTTTGTCTCTAAAGAACCACTTTTGCTTTCACTAGCTTTTTGGAAATCTTCATCCAGGACTTTGTAGTTGTTTTTAAGGTAATAATGTACATTAGTTTTGTTACCTCTCCTGGTTTGTGCGCATACTCGGTGTGTCTCGAAGAGTTCCTCTGTTTATAGAGCGACGTCTCAACAGTAAATTCTCTAAGTAAAGAGGTTCTGTCAGTGTCGCTAACGTCTTCCTTCACTTCTTTCTCTAGCTGATTGTGACTCTCACTAAACAGTCAGCTGTTTCCAATCCTTGGGCATCTGTTACGGAGGGTGGGCATCTAATTTAAAAAAAAACCTTCTGATTGGTCACATACTTCATGTTGCTGAGTTGTTGTCAAAACCCTAATATGTTCCATAAATTCAAATATTTGAGCCAAGCATTACTAGTTTATTCTGTTTTTTTTTTTTTTTTTTTTTTGCTTTATACCTATTGCACTAGCTGCTTTCGCAATGAAAATACATTTTAAGGACTTACAGGGACTGTTTTCCACTTCTTAGTTTTATTAGAGAGCTAATTGCCATTAACATCATGGTTTTGGTTTCCAGAATGGTAATACGCACATTTCTCTGGCAGAGCAAAGCAGAGTTTGTGCACAATTAGGGAGAATTGGTTCAGATCTAATCGTCAAAATACACCTGTGTTTCTTTTAGTGTTGACATGTTCATGTTTTTACAGGTCCAGTGTGAAGAGGAGCTCACCATACACTGGACTCCTCCAGACCACATGGTCTTATTTCAGCACATGACTGAAGCTCAGGCTTGTTGGTGTATGCTCCGTGGAGAAAAAGAAGATGGTGGAGGAGCTGTGCCGGGTCAGAGCAGAGGCTTTTCTTTACGCATTGAAATGGGTTTGACTCGTTTAACAGCCCACGTTGGTGAGAAGAACTATATCCTGCTGCACACCGACGCTTTCTCACTAACGAAGCATGCTGGTGCCATACACATCCGCTCCCCCCTGCTGATCTTCAACTTTGATGGCAACAACATCGTCTCCTTTAACAACTTGGAGGTAGAGACTCATGATGACCTCACTGAGATGCAGCTCCACAGAGACACGTTTCCTTTTCTAAGCACCGCCCACAACCGAGTCTGGGTCCTCACCTGCCCGTCTTTATCCGTTGAGTTCCCCTACCAGTACAACTTCTCAAACACTTTTGACATGGCCATCAGCGTGCAGAAGTGGTTAAAGACGCTCCATCTCCCACCAAGTCAAGCGTCCTCCGAGCAGCGGCTGCCACCCGATCTGGTGTTCAAAATCAGCCAGTTCTCGTTCGTCTTCCTGGATGATGTCTTTGAAATCAAGCTGAGAGACAACTATGAGCTAATGAAGGATGAGAGTAAAGAAAGCGCCAAGCGTCTGCAGCTCCTGGATAAGAAAGTGGCAGAACTGAGAAAGCAGCATGGAGAACTTCTTCCCGCCAGAAAAATAGAGGAGCTTTACAGCTCGCTGGAGAAGAAACACATAGAAATTTACATCCAGCGTTCACGGCGACTCTATGCAAACACACCCATGAGGAAGTCTCTGCTTACCTGGACGGTGACGGACCTGGAGCTCGTTGCTCTTGCTGATCAGTCTTTCCATGGTCCAGAGAAGGTGAGAGAGCAGCTGAGAGACATCGACAGGATCAGTCCCTTCCCCAGAGACGGACTCCCTTTGGCGGTTCAGTGGTGTCGTGCCGTCAAGTTTAAGCTGGAAGCGTACTTGGGTAAGACCATTTTCTTTCTTTAAAAAAAAGTGAAGCACCTGTGCGTTCTTTCTTATCTGTTTACTCTTTCTGCTTATGTTGTTAGTGCGAATTCGAGACTACCCTCGTTACCTGTTTGAGATCCGGGACTGGGAGCTGTCAGGGCGTCTGATCGGAACAGAGCAGGATGGACAGGCGAGGGCTCGTCGCAAGCAGACTATCCCACTCGGAGATCCGTGGGGAGATGTGACAGTCCACAGAAACATGCCTCCACTCAAGTTCTACTATGATTTCAAATGTAAGTTCTACAGGATTTTCAAAATCTGTCAGCCCTTTGGAATTCAGATAAAATCTAAAGTATAATCTGTTTTCCTTTAGAAAAATCTTAATCCTCACCCAAACTTTGACAATAGTGTTTTGAGTCAGTTGTAGGCAGACACTAATATTAAATTCTCACTTAACGACTCACTTAAAAAAAAGCCATTGTGTTTTTTATACTAGATTTTTATTCTAAAATGTTATAATGATTTGATTCATAGTATTTAAAGCAAATTAGCTCTTACTGTAAATGCCACTAAAACATATCAGAGATATATGAATATTTAATGAATTTGGGTTTGAGGTGTAGATTAGAGCAGCAAGGAAACACCCATGAATTTTGTCTACGGGAGGATGATAGTATTGACCCAATGACTTAAAGTTGACCGATATCAACATCCAATGTTTATTTTAATCTTGTTCAGGAGGAGATGGACATGTGATATTAGTCCAGGCATGGGACAGCAACAGAATCAGGTTTATTGCCATTGTTAGTGAAGGAGTTAACACACTAGAAATTTTTTGTGGTACAATCGTGCATCATGAAACATATAATATGGAATAGGTAAATAAAATTATAAAATTATCTAAAACACTGTGGGTATAAGGCATGCAATAAAATAGACTAATATATACACTTAAGATAAAAATATGGATATAAAATATAAAAAGTAAAATAGCATCTTACAAGGAGTGCAAATAGAGCAGTGTGCAAATAGAGCAGTGAAAATGACATGGGCAGGTTATAGAGTCTGCCATAAGACTCATGAACACCTAACTATGTGTCAGACTCTATTAGAGATGTCCCGATCCAGGTTTTTGCACTTCCGATCCGATCCGATACCGATATTGTTTTTGGACTTCCGATCCGATACCGATACTGGCCGATACCAGCCTATCCGAGCATGTATTTAAGTTTAAGTTAAAGTATTTAGCCTTAGTTGTAAGACTCATGTTGAAAAGGGTTTTAGTACTCTTGATAACATCTAGCCAGCTAAATTAGGTGAGATTGAATAAAACACAATGCTTGGTAACAACAAACTTACCTGTTTATTAAGAGATAAACACAAACTGGACAAAATTATGAATAGCAATCTGAAATTGCACAGTGAACAGTAAAACCGTAAACAGTTAAAGGTGCAAGTATTACTGTAAGTTTTAATAAAAATTCAAAACAGGGAAACACTGGCGCAAAATAGTGGAATGGATCGTTTCAATCGGCGAAACTGGAAAATACGGACCGGATTTTTTTTTTAAAACTGGATCGGCAGTCTGGATCGGCATTTTACATGCTTTGCCGATACGCATTTTTTTTTGCCAATATCGGCGTCCCGATCCGATACGTGGATCGGATCGGGACAAGCCTAGACTCTATAACATGCCCATGCCATTTACACTGCTCTATTTGCACAGACCTATTGTTGTTTTAAATCCTGTTTTAAAGATTTGTCTCTAAATGATAATCAATATTTAAGCATAAATAAGTCCTATTTTCATCAACTTGCTCTGTCTGCAGCCAACATCTCTCTTTATACCATTGTGTGGGGGCCTTGTTGGGACCCTGCCTGGACGCTGATCGGCCAGTCAGTGGACCTGCTGACCAAACCCACAGCCGATCCGTCTCCCCCTCTGGCTTGGTGGGACAAAAGTCGCCTGCTTCTGCACGGACGTTGGCAGATGAACATCGAACACGCCAACCTGCATCAGCTGGCTACAGAGGTCAGACTTGTTTTATTGTGTTGAGTTATGTTTTAAAAGACATTTAATCCGAGTCTGCATTCCTCCAGGATCCATATAACACCACTGAAAACTTGCATTGGGAATGGACCAAACTGAACTTTGACTGGAATCCTGGTCAGTTTGTGTTTAAAGGGAATTTAGACGTAAACGTCAGGACAGCATCAAAGTAAGTACTTAGAGTCCAAATAAAATTGAACCCAGCAAATACAATGCTGATAAAGAAAATCCCTGTTTTTCATGCTAGGTACGATGATATCTGTTTCCTGCATTTGCCCAACCTGTGTATGACCCTTGACCTTCAGTGGCTTTGCCATGGCAACCCCCATGACCACCATGCAGTCATGGTTTGCTGTGCAGAGAGCATTGCAGACGTGACCTCAGGACAACCTCATGACTCCTACAGAGCTTTTCGCTCTGAAAACCTCAACCTCTCCATCACCATGGATCTCGACCAGAACTGCTCTACAGGTGTGTGTTAAACACATCGGGCCTTAGGCAGGAAAAGCAGTGTGTTTAATTCACCATTTATGCATTTCTTGTCTTTTAGAACCCCCTGAGCCTCGAATCTTGCTGTACAGCAGCACTCTGCGCTGGATGCAGAACTTCTGGGCCACCTGGACCAGCGTCTCTAGACCCATCTGCAGAGGCAAGCTCTTCCACAGCCTCAGGCCGGTCCGCAAGAAGCTCGGTCAGCACTACAAACAGATGTCCTACACAGCTGCCTTCCCACAACTACAAGTAAGCTTTTAATAATTTGCCAAAAACAAGGGCGCTTAACAGCTGTGTTTTAGTGCTGCTCGATTATGGCAAGCCATTAAAACAAATTAATTTGTTTAGTGTTAAAATCTCCTTTTATTTTACTCAAATTCTCAATTGATTTAATAGACGCAGTTTATTAGTTGCACTTTAATGCAAATTGTTTTCTAACAGTTTTCCATTTTAGACATTTCAACCAATTAGAATTCATGTTTTTTTTTTGTTTTTTTTTGTCATGAAATATCAGTGCCTTAAAATATCCTTTATGCCATACATGGTTTAAGCAGATCATTTCATGAAAAACGGGAAAATAAATATATTACATAATGTGGATTTTGCTTTAAGCCTTCTCTGCTCTAAGGTGGGGTTAACTGCCTTTCAGAAAAAATCTATAGCCTTCAGATGCGTCCTGTAAAACAGACCTGGTTTAATCATTTATTTCTTGAGGCCTGTCTAAACTAAACGTTCTAGTTAAACCTGCATCTCACTTTTGCTGACAAGCAGATCAAGTGTTAGCTGTCGCACCTATCTAGCCTTAGCCAGAATTTACGCTGAATCTGCTCCACTGCGAAGCCCAGAGAAACTCCAAGAAGCATGTGTAGTCATGCATAGAAACCAATAATGAATGAAAAAAGAAGTCTTTATATGGATTTAAACTAAAACTTTAACTTTATTGAACATTATTTGAGGAGTACTTTTGTAGGTTTTTAAATGAGTATAGGCATCTTTAGTGAATTGTCTTGAAAATAGGAATGTTGTGGTCGTTCTCCCTGCTGCTACAATAGTAGTAGTTGGACTGTGGTCGGGTTCTGGCATGGAGCAAAAAAGGAGTAAATAGAATTTTGCCAGATGGTGATTTTCTTCACCACTGTGCCGAGTCAATGTTTTATTTTGTTCTTTAAGTTATAGTTTCATCAGTAGTTGTTTTTTCCGTCCCTGACTCGGATGCAGTGCAGTCAACATTGTTTAACCATGGTTCTTGGTTTTATCTACCATTCATTTACATCTTGTCTTTCCCTCAGGTGCATTATTGGGCTTCCTTTGCGCAGCAGAGAGGAGTCCAGGTGGAGTGCAATAAAGGCCACGTGTTTACTCGAGGGACGCAGAGACTTATTCCACAGGGTGACGCAGCATTTAACGACTGTTAGCATAGACGCTGTACAGAAATAGACTTTTTTAAAAGCTGGTTGCTCTGTGTCGTTTCTCAGCGGGCACTGTGATGAGGAGGCTGATCTCTGAGTGGAATGTGACTCAGATGGTGAGTGAGCTGTCTCAGGTGACGGTCCACCTGATGGCCTCCACCTGGGACGAGACGGCTGACCATCAGATTAACGCTCAAGTGAAGAAGACTCATCTGCTCAGTCTGTCATCACTTAGCTACCAGCGACAGAGCAACCGCATGGAGGAGGTAAAAGCTGGACTTCAGGCGTATTTGTTTTGGTAGCTGGAGTAAGACTTTACCAAATTTATTTTCTTTATTTCTGGCAGGAAGTAAATCCAACAGATGAAACTAATGCTTCTTACACTCACAAACTGCGCCTGGTGGATCTCCGTGCTTCCTGGACAACCATAAACAGAAACATAGCCTTTGGGCTCTATGATGGTTATAAAAAGGCTTCTGTGTTGAAGAGAAATCTTTCAACCGAAGCTCTAAAGGGTCTAAAGATCGACACGCACCTGCAGACGAAGAAACTCAAACGTTCTCCCTCCTACTACTCTCCGACCACAGCTCTTGTGACTCCGGTTGTTCCTGCTGTGAATCGTGTGGAGAAAAGTCCACATGAAGGCCAGTATTTCTGCTGCCGGTACGGGCTCTGCCAGAAACCAGAAATGACTCACCAGTTTCTGTTTCTTTACATTCTGTAGGAGCTTCAATGTTGCAGAAGCTGATTGAAGAAACGGACAAGTTTGTGGTGTTTTCTGAGGAAGACTCTGGAGTCAGTGACCAGCTGTGCGGCATTGCAGCCTGTCAGACCGATTGTGTGTTTAACCGCAACTGGTTTATTGAGCTGGTCAACTGTCAGGTAATCCCACTGATGCTACTTGTTTCAGCCTTCAAGTTTCTTATTAGATATTTGAGTTTAAATCTGGAACAAAAATGGTTCCCTTCATTCCTGTTATTGTTGTTTTGGTTTTGTAAGATTCATTTTCAAATGTGTTGTATCTTAAATATATAGGCCTTTCAAAGTGAGCTTTACACATATATGAAGAAAACTGACTTTGGCACTACAGAGTATCTACCTATTTATTTATATTAGTCGTTTTCTTCCAACCTGAAAGAAAGGCACTTTAAAACAATGCTGCTGTACAATATATTGGTGCAGTAAAATAACACAACAGTTATAAGTAAAAACGTGAAACGTAAACCAAACGTAAAATTATCTTGGCACATGAACCTTAACTGACAAGGAATCCATGTCAATTCAACATAATGTTTTTTTTTTTTTTTTTATAATATTGCAAAATCATTTAAGGTTTTTCAGCATTTAAATCTTTGTCATATCAACATTAAATATTTGGTTCATATGACATAATCAGAAAGTCACAAACTGTTTATTTTTATGCTTATTTAATACAATAAAATTCTGTGTAAAAAAAAAAAAACATATATATATATATATATATATATATATATATATATATATATATATATATATATATCTCTATCTTTGGGTGGAATGAACACAATATTTTTTATTGCTCAAACCAACTCAAAGATTTTTTGGAAACAGCTTTCTCACAAAACCTTTCAGTTTATCAACATGAAAGTTTTGGTTCCAATCAATATAAACTGAATGTGTATTATAATCTGACTGAGATTTGTTGGCTTTTTTCAGTCAAATGATAGAATAGTTTTATGTTTTTAAAACTTTGAGTTCTATGTAATTTAAGTAGAAATTAAGTAGACATTACACAAACTTTATCTGACTTTTTAAGCTCAGCTCCACACATTTACCCACTGAGAAGACGGCTCGCCCCCCGACCTGAACCTTCAAGATCCCAAATGGTACTGGGACGAATACTTTCAGCACTTAAACATCTTTACTGTCATAACGGAGCAGATACCTTCTGACTGTCAGAAGATGAACATTTTATCAACTCAGACAACATTTATATACTGAGATTTTCAAACACAGGTTAGGAAATTTGTCACAGTCAAGTCTGAGTTAGGGTTTCTAAAATCCTTTCAAGACTGACTGACTGTACTCATGTAGCAGATATAAAATATTAAAAAAAACAATCTGGTTTTATGTTCACATTTAATTGAATTGCTGATATTTTCTTGCTAAATGTATTCTGGGTAAAAATCATCACCAAGTTGCCATTCTGGTCATTTGCCCCTGCCTTTCATGTTTTGAACAAGAATGTTCTTGTAAAATGAAAATTAAAGGCTTGAGGGGATATTTTTACACTAGTTTATATAAATTGGAACAACTATAATAAGTTATATGTGGTAGAAAAATACTATGGTTTCCATTGAACATAACAAAATTTGCCATTTTGAATTATTTTAAATTATATTGATAATGTCACTGCACAAATGGGGTTTGTTTCTACTGAAAAGATTTAGGTTACGCAAACAACACATTATTAAAGTTAACTTTGTGTTGACATTTGTTTAATACATTATGTTGACTAAAAAGTAAGTTGGGGGGGGGAACCCACTTAAAACTGTCAGTTTTATGTTAAGACTGTAAATATTATGTTCAGCATAACACTCAAACTTTAGTTATAATCATGTGTTTTTAGTATATTCAGTGAAAAAAATCTTTTCAATTTTATGTCAAATATATGTCAAATTCAAAGAGAGGCTTGTTTGTGTCGAGTGAACTTAAAATATTTACGTCAGTCTTGATGATTATATTGACATAATATTTTATGTCATGGCAGAATTGGGGCTAACAGTGAGTGTACTACTGCACTTCTGCCAATTAGGCTTTTCTTTTTAGGAAGACTAAACACAAAGCTCTTATAGCCGGAGAACAGTTGCTGTTACTCTGCAAATTTTAACTTCTAGCAGAAATGATGGAGCTCTGCCTCACATCTCTGCCTGGGCAGAGCGGTAAAGGTAGGTGCTTTCTGGAGGGAATGGGTTATGCTAGCTCTGTATAGATCTCTCCTTGTCCCTTGTTTTTCCAGGACCGGGAGAGGCTGCTGCTCAGAGCATATTTCATCAGGATTACTCAGACATTCATCAGTCAAATGAAATACCACTGGGCCTTATTTTGACAAAGGAAAAGCAGTTTAACATAATTAAAACCATTGTAAAGACTTTACTGGTAATCATTTGACTTAAAAGAAGACTGGTGTTGATTACAGGAGTTGAGCTGAATATATTATCAGAACCAATTATATGACCAAAAGTTTAAGGATCACAATGAGCAGCAATTATACTTATTAATAGCATGCTGTAAACTGATGAACGTAACTGCTGACTTATGAAAAAAAGCTTCAGTAGTTTAAACAAAGTACCGCAGTGAAACTAGGTAACATCTAGTGAAACCTTGTCAGACTTTTAGATTTGTTAACCTTTTCTGGGTGTTTTTTTTTTATTTCCTTCCCCCACCTAGATGATGCTGCGTGGCACGGAAACAGCAGGCTGTGTTCTGGTGTCTGCAGCCAAGGCGCAGTTGCTGCAGTGTGAGCACCACCCGGCCTGGTACAATGACACGCTGAAGCAGAAGACCACCTGGACGTGTCTGCTGGACGGGATGCAGTACTTTGCCACCATGGAGCTCAATCCCTCTGAGCAGGAGGACAGACAGCTGTGGCTGGAGGTAGGCTTCGCTCGAAAGAGTATCACAACATTTTAGATTTGGTTTATATATTGAAGAGTTGATCATTACTGCTTGTGATTGTAGGGAATATTGTGCTTAAATGTACTTTTAGCATCCTATTTGAACTATGCTCTTTTTTTAACTTTGATTATTTCCTTTGCATTTTGCTGTCTGTAGGTAAAAAACATTGAGGAACACAGGCAGCGTAACCTGGACTCAGTGCAGGAGCTGATGGAGAGCGGCCAGGCAGTAGGAGGAATGGTTAGCACAACTACAGGTGAGGATATATTCACTCAGGGGGTGTGCACTTTCTCAGGGTCCGAGCATTTAAAACCCAAATATACTGGTAGTTCTGATGAAGTCTTTAACCTTGAACTATTTCAGGTATTTTGCACTGTGAAAGAAGAGCAGTGCATCCCAGGCAGTGTATTTTGGGATCAGATTTGATCAGTTAAGGTTTTGTATTTTGCAGACTGGAACCAGCCCGCACAGGTGAATGAGTCTCAGCAGGTTCAGCGCATCATCTCCCGCTGCAGCTGCAGGATGCACTACATTAGTTACAGTCATGACATCAACCCCGAGCTGGCCACACAAATCAAACCTCCAGAGATGAGGAACAATCATGAGAAAGAGGACCTGCTTAAAAAGCAAGCTGGTATGTGTGATCAGAGATGGAGCAGTGAGGGTGTCCTGTTTTTAGAAGGATTAATCTGTGATACTGTTGCTTTTAGGTGCTGTGGAAACGTTCACTCTCATTCACCATGACCTGGAGATTTCCACCAACCCAGTTCAGTACGCTATGATTCTGGACATCGTCAACAACCTGCTGTTACATGTGGAACCCAGGCGCAAGGTAGGCAGGAGCTCCAACTGACTAACTCTCTCTAGAAAATGATGTGATCTTTTCATTTGCCCATCCTAAGATCTTGTTTTTTCCAACACTCGTTTAGGAGCACAGTGAGAAAAAGCAGCGGGTTCGTTTCCAGCTGGAAATTTCCAGCAACCCAGAGGAGCAGCGCAGCAGCATCCTGCATCTGCAGGAGGCAGTGAGGCAGCACCTCGCCCAGATCAGACGCCTCGAGAAACAGATTTACTCCAACATCAGGGTGAGCTTTTTATCAAACCTCCAGAGCTCAACAACTTATTGTTTATGAAAATGATCTGCTAAAGGTTAGTCATTTTCCATGTCCCAGGGATTTATATATGATCGTCTGGACAGAGGACAGAGATTTAGATCAACATAACAACCGTTAGATGTTCCTTACATGCCAGCTGTTTGTTTTAGGAGTGGTTCTTAGTTAAGTTAAAACTCACAATTAAGTATGGTGATGGACCCGCCATGCTCTAAGTCCATGGCAAAATAAACTCTTTGAATAAAGGGGAGATTGTGAAAAAGTTTCCAGTGCAGTTAACCATGCTAGTGAACAGAAAAGGCAGGATACATGTTTCTTGTAGCACAATTTAGATTCGATTTTACTTTGCTGTTGCTGCAAAATACAGATCTAAAACTTTTGGCCATATCTGCACAGTTATGATTCCCCAGGCTGAAAGTCGGCTGTGTTCCACTGTCGTCTTAGTCACCAAACTTAAATCCTGTAGCATAAGAGAAGATGAAGGGCTCTGGACAACTGAAAGAGATTTTGGATGGAGGAGGGCTCTGATCTTGTGAAGAGTTAGAGGAAAAGAATTACTAATCAACTTTATTGGTGTCTAGCAAACTGGTTTCAGGCCATTTCTCCTTGACCCGAATAAGTGTGATCGTTACAGTAGTTTTGGAAAAACTATATTCATTCACCCTACTGGATGAAATCTAATAGAAATAAAAGTTTAAAATTTTCTGAAATCCTAATTTCTGTTACTATAATAAAATATTAATTTATTATCAGATTTGCCAGTAAATTTGACTGTAAATGGAGCTGATTGTTTAGAGGCTAAAAAAAAAAGCAACTCTTTTTCAGCTCATTTATTCCAACAAACACGAGGTTAAAACTCAGATGTCTTGTCTTTAGGCTCAAACCGATGAAGCCAACAGTGACGAACTGATGGACATCAACATGCGTCTGCAGAATCAGCTGAACCAGGAGAAGAACGACATGCAGATGAAAAGCGAGGAGCTCAACATCCTCATCAGGTCTCACATCAGCAGCAAAGCATGTCTGATAACCACAGTCATCTGCTCACAGCAAATATAAACGTCCTGTGTTGTATCCAGGTGTTTTAAGGATTTCCAGCTGCAGCGAGCAAACAAGCTGGAGCTGCGAAAGCCCCCAGAAGACGTTGGCGTGGTGCGAAGGACGGAGATCTACTTTGCTCAGGCTCGCTGGTGTTTGACGGAGGAGGACGGACAGCTGGGCATCGCAGAGCTCGAGCTGCAAAGATTCATGTACAGTAAGGTGAGTAGAAAACTTCCTCTGTCTGTAATTTTAAAACTCATCTTGCTCAGCCGGATTTTTTTTTCTGTCTGTAAGACAAAAGAGTGAGCACGAAGAATTAATCAATGATTACCTTGTTCTCCTTGTAGTTGAACAAGTCTGATGACACAGCAGAGCATCTTTTGGAGCTCGGGTGGTTCACAATGAACAACCTGCTTCCCAATGCAGCTTACAAGGTAAATCTGATTTGAACAATTGATGTCAGTCTGGATGATAAACTGATAGGGTTATCCGATATAGGTCTTTTCATGAGTTTACGTCCTCTCATCATCTGTATCAATCACTCTCTAATCAGTACTTGAGTTGAGGAGGGATGAGGGTGGGATAGCATCACGTTCTTAAAAAAATCTTAAAAATCATCCCCCTTCTTAAATGACCATCCCCTGTGGCATTTTATTACTGAATGTGTAAAATTCCTACTATATTTTAACAGTAATGGCAATGATATTGCCCTTTCAACTTTTGGCGGGCTGTGGGCTTACAAGTAGCCTGAGCAAAAAAATGTAAATCAATTGTCCTACCATGACTATGAAGCTGTTCTCATTGGGAAATTTGTCCTCTGGATTTGTTCCTAACTATGTAGGGGCAGTGATAGCCAATGCCAGACCAGGGACTGACTGCAGTTCTACTGTAAGGTTCCTTGGTCAAGGTCAATGACCGGCGTACCTGACATGTAACAACCATAACATGCATATTTCTTTAGGTTAATAGACTATATTAATTAGGCTATGTATGCTTCCAAAAAAAAAAAGAAAATCCACCATCCCCTTTTTTTTACAACTGTCTCTAATATATCACTATTACCGTACTGACCCGAATATAGGTGACCCTTATCATCAGACGACCCCCTATTTCCAGAACCAGTTTTTAGGAAAAAAACAAAAAGACAAAAAAAACAACAACTGACAAACCAAATGTGTTTGGTTTAAAGAATTTCTTTTGAATAATTTTGCATTGTGCAATTAAATAATAAAAAGTTTTAAAAAACACAGCCATGACACATTTCAGTGAAATCTGCAACACTTCAACTCGAATGCAATTTGAACTTTGCTCATGGAACGTCTCAAACCCTGCATGAGGCTTTTATTCACAGCTATCCTCTGCCTCGCTGTCACTCCTACACCCGACAGCTCTGCAATTTTTTTCATAAGTTTTTCTTTTGCTGTTCGCATTTTTCAAGTCTTTTTTAACGTGCCATCTTCTGACATTGCATTCTGTAATGCCGTATTTATTTGCTTCCTGACAGTTGTTTAATGCCTCCACTGCGTTGACCACCGTTATTTTGAAAGTGGTGTCATAACTCCACCTCAGATGTATGCAGACTTGTCTGACTTTTAATCCACACTGTTCTGGGCAGTGACTTTCCATTTGTAGCATCCGTGTCACTTCTTCTTTATTGTGTTTAAAAAAATAACCCCAGCCAGTTTGATGTCACTGGCTTTACAAAAAACGGGCTCCCTCTGCTGTTGTCTGTGTAGCAACCCCAGACAACTGTCAACCTGTATAATTGGTTAGACCCCAATTATAAGACAACCCCACATTTTCACATCATTTTTAACACAAAAAAAAACCTTGTCCTATTTTCAGGTTATGCAATATTTTTTTATTTGAGATGCTTCTTTTCTAGGATGCAGAGGTACAATAGGGTGACTGTTGTAATCCAGACTTTGGGGGTTCCAGTTTACTGCTAACACATTTAGATTTATAGGAATTAGCCTACCAGTCTATGTTAGTCTAATGTATGAATGAACAACTTTCTTAGTGGGATAAGTTGAATGTGACTCTGTTGTGAAGTGCTTTGAGTTTAAAATGGGTTTAGAAAAGCTCCACGTCAAATTTGGACTGTCAGCATTGAAGATTTTCTTCAATCAAAAACAGAAATGTTTAACAGTCTGTGTCTTTCTCTACTCCACAGAGAATCTACTGATATGTCTTAGCAAATTGGAGTCTGAATCCATGTTTCTTTAGCCACTAACAAGCGTCTGGTCTGATTAATATTTGATCAGTGTTCCTTTTAGAGGGTTTGTTTGGTTTAGATTGGTTTTGTTTCCTGACTCAGAGCCTGGAGTTGTAGTAAAGTCCACAAATCTTCAGTAGGATTAAGGTCAGGGTTTATCAGGAAGCAGAATGATTGTTTTGTTTGTCCACTCCCAAACCAATTTCTTTTATCTGAGTTCCCTGCCTTTGTTCAATGCACCACCAGACTGGCAATAAAAACAGGCTCCTCAGCATGACGCTTCCTCTATCATGCTTTACTAGCTGGCACAGTCATGTTTGAGGTTAAAGCCTTGTCTCTTCCAAACATGCCTCCTGTCATTGTGACCCAAATGCTCAGTCTTTCTTCTGGTCTGACTGGAAAAGTACCTCAATTATTAAATGTAACTGCAGCAGGAGAGGCTAGTTTCTCTCTACCCACCCTCAGTCTTCGTGATGGAAACTCGGGTCACCTGTAATCTGGACATCTTTGGTCCAGAATCCACCAGGTTATAATAGCTTTACATTCTAGACTCCTTGATTGAAAGTTGGACGGAAGTGTTTTTTTAAGAGGACAGTTATAAAACATGATTTTGGAACAGATAGAGCTCTAATGCAGGCTTCAGGGATGGCCCTGAAGTCAGTGCTGCTGAAACTGGATCAGGGCTAAAAACCCCTGAGTGCCAGGAAAGGAAATTATTAAAATGAGCTCTTCCTTTGTCGTCATCAGAGCAGCCAGATATCGGATCACAAACCATGCAGGGAAAGATTTGCTGTTCAATTTTTATTTAATGATGGTGATGCTATGTGAATATATTTTAGCCAATAATCAAAAATGTATTATAAGTTTTAAAGCAAATGTTCTACTGTTGTGCGATTTACATCCTGGAAAAATGAAAAGTTGGTGTAAAAACCCTCATAAAAGAGACATTGATGCAGGTGATGAGCGCATATAAACATCTGACTCTACAAGGACCTTTTTATTTTGGAGATTTTCTACTAAAATTTAACCCAACACTGGCCCATCCATGCACTATCTAAATAGGAAATTGCTAACCTGTGTTAATGTATCTCTGCCTGGTTTCCTCTGTGCAGCGTGTGAGGGTACGTATCCAGGACACTGATGTCTGTGCTTGAACCCACCTTGTTTGTCCAAACAGTCACTCCACAGCTCCAGACTTTGTAGCATGTTGAAGCAAGGATGCATAGTTGCATGTGTTCCTATCTCTCATAACCTTATTCTCTCATCCTGTTGTTCACATCATTGGTAACGTGTCACATGGTGCACATTTCACGCCAAAGAAAGCTTAACTGTCGCTAACTTAATCTGATTTTTCTAGGTTGTACTTCGACCTCAGAGCAACTGCCAGTCAGGACGTCAGTTTGCTTTGCGCATCTTCAGCAAAGTGCGCCCCCCTGTGGGAGGGATCTCAGTGAAGGAGCACTTTGAGGTATGGAACCTGCTTCATGCAGCTGCTGTAAAACCAGACTTCACTTTAGTTTTGCCTCAATCTAACCTCTCTGCTTAACTCAGGTGAACGTGGTGCCTCTCAACATCCAGCTCATGTACCAGTTTTTCAAACGCATGATGGGGTTTTTCTTCCCGGGAAGAAACGTTGAAGAGGAAGATGTGACAGACGAGGAAGACAAGTCTAGATTGGTCACTACTGGTATGTTATGGTGGAATAAATTCAGCCAGGCGACTGTTTGCGCTCTTGTCTCTCTAGATCCCTATCCTCCAGCACACCAATCTATACTAGTTTCTGTTTTCTCCACCAGACATGTGCAAGAATTAATACTTTGTGTGCTGTATTGCTGACCCTAAGAACTGTGATTTCGTTTGCGTTTGAGACACTGTGGGGGTGTTAGCCTGCGGTGTTGATGCCGCAGGCTTGGTGCTGATGGCGTTGTGGTCTGTGTCACAGCTATCCCAGTCAAGCCCAGGCAGCTGTCAGAGGATACCATGGGTGCCATGGGCCCCAGTAAGAGTATCACCCAGGGACTGAACCGCACCGCAGGAGTCAGGAGGTCATTCAGAAAGCCTCCAGAGGTGAGAAGGTTTTTTAATTTAAGCTTAGATGATGAAAGAAAAAGTAATTAACCTGAAATGTATATGTTCACCATTTAGCATCCTGTCGACGATATTGATAAGATGAAGGAGAGAGCCGCCATGAACAACTCCTTCATCTACATTAAGATTCCCCAAGTGCCTCTGTGTGTCAGCTACAAGGTGGGCCATCCAACCCAGTCACACTGTTATCCCATAGAAACTGCATTTATTCATATGCTTTTAATTTTCTAATGCCCCAATAAAAAAAGAAGACAATTCATCCATTTTTTTGAGTCTTTGTCATCTTTTCTGCTAATTTATTGTTTAGACAACAAATCAAATCCAAATTGTTTTCAGAAAGTCACATCCTGTGTACTCGTACTGCTTTAAAATCAGTCGTCTGTCGTTGCAGAAATGTTCTCTCCCTAATCCTTCTTATGTGTAAGTAATACTGCGGCACTAAGGATCCACCACCTGAACACACATTTACTACTTCTTCTAGGCTGTGGTTCCTATAAATTGTTCATTTGAAGACGCAAACTAATGCCTTTAGTTTCTCCAATCTCACAAGCACACCACATCTCACCCTGTGCTGTTTATTCAAACATCTGCATGTTTGTCTAAAGTGATCGTGTAAGATGGAGTCACATCTTGGTCTGATGCTTTTAAAACAACCACCAGAATTTGATTTATTGGCAAATATTAAGTGTAAATATGTCAACTTTTTGGCAGTTAAAGACCCAGCAGTAATTCACCTCTCAGGGTTTTGACAGTATCCTTGATACTTGGCAGAATCACTCTGTATGCCGTCCTGTTGTCTCTGAAGAAGAGATTCCTTGATCCACAGCTTACCTTCACTCCAACACATTATTCTAGGTTTTGCTCTCTGACTGCCCTCTTTATCTATTCCCAGTCCAGTTTCTCTTCTTTTTAATCTCTTACTCTGTTCGATTTCTCCTCAGGGAGAGAAGAGCAGTGTGGACTGGAAAGACCTGAACCTCGTTCTTCCTTGTTTGGAGTACCACAACAACACGTGGACGTGGCTCGACTTCGCTATGGCTGTGAAACGCGACAGTAGAAAGGCGCTGGTGGCTCAGGTGTGCAGATTTTCTTTTAAGTAAACACAAAAATATTCACACCCTTAAAAACCACAAAAGTTGTTTATTTTAATCAGCATTTTTTGTGTGAGTCCAAGACAAGGGGTGGATAACTTACATTTAGAGAAAGTCAATCAGTTTTTGATTTTCACAAATTCAAATAATCAAAAGTGTCGTCTGCATTTGTATTTAACTTTCTTTAGTCTGATAACTAAAATCCAGTGTTTACCATCATCTTTAGATTTTATCTAGTTAGTAAATGGAGGAGATTTAATCTAGGTACCAATACAGATTTTCAGTTAAGGCCCCAGGGTTTTGTTAAAGAACACACACATATATATATATATATATATATATATATATATATATATATATATATATATATATATATATATATATTTATAACAACAGACCCATGAAGACACAGTTCAACCCAGCACGGTGAGAAAGGAGAGCATTAATATGAAGAGCCACCAAGTCTGGAAGAGCTGCTGAGATTCCCAGATGTGGAGTGAGGTTTAGGGTGTTGGATCAGGATTAATGCCTAAAAGTATTCTACTCCTCAGATTTCTGGCTGCAAAGTAACATTTTGACAAACTGTTTTGCATGAAATATGGTGCTGGCATTGTCATGCTGTGGGAGTGAAAGCTTGTCAGAATTGATAGGGTGACGGGCAGCGCTACATACGCTTTAGGAATGGAAGAAAAACAGTTGGAGGCTACAAAAAAAACTTGAGACTGGAGTTGGCTGAACAAATGCATTTAACTGGCAGCTAGAGCACAAATAAGCTGCCGTTTGCCTTTTTCTATCTTTCAGAATTAGTTTGTGGTTCTAAATTGAAAAAAAAAAAATGTGAGGGGGATTATTACTGTTAAATAATATTAAAGCACAAAAATCTTATTAAAAGGATTAATCTAAAACTGTGTTTGTTTTTGGTGTGTTGAATTTACATTGGTATAAAAAAACATTAAACATTTCCTTGTCATTGCTCCTAAACTGATCCATCCTGCGTTCTGCTGCTCAGATGATTAAAGAGAAGCTGCGCCTGAAGCCGGCTTCTGTCACCGATCTGCGTGGGAAGGTGTCTGAAGGGAAGTCGGACAACAACCAGCAGCAGGAGGAAGACGAGAAGGCTCGGCTCCTCATTGGACTCAGCACCGCAGATAAAAGCTCCAGCAAGAAGAGCATCTTCAGCCGCCGAAAGTAGAAAAAGAAAATAGGATTTTAAAAAGCTGAAGCACACCTCCCTCTGACACGGCTTCCTCCAAAGCACCCACACTTCACTCCATTCTTCAGGGTTTTTTCTCAAAAAGGAAGAGGAGAGAAGCATTTACAGTAGTTGAACTTGATTCTGGAACATCTCCATGGATATGATCCCATTATGACCAAATGTGTGTTTTTATGATGTTTATCTGTGTGCCATTATAGCATTATTTCACTAAGCGTTTCATTCACTGTGCAGCTCTGGAAATAATAACCACTGGTTGCATTAAATGTAGCGAGACAGATTCTTTTTTTTTCTGTTAATGCTCCTCGTCCTGCTGGCTCAGGAACACACTGAAGAACAAAAAACTGTCCTGCTAACAACTGTAAGAATCATTTCTTTAAAATATTTTATCATATTATATATAGGAAAGCCTATCCAGGCTGCATGACTGTCACTGACACGAGGGCCGAAATACTCCAGATTTTACATGTGCTAATCACTCAGCCTGCTGTTTTACTGTCACTTACCTCAGTGCAATTAATGGAGAACAAAAAACAAAATATATTGATGTACTTGATGGTTCTGTCAAAGGAAGTTGCAGCTGATGGCAGATCGTGTCCTCTGTATTTTAACACTAAAGCACTTTCCATGCAAAGTCTGTGATATTTTTTGTATCCACAGTTATTTTGAACACCTTTAACTCCTGATTGGTCTTAAAAGTTTCAATTAAAGAGTAATCCAACAGCGGCTGTGAGTCACTTCTTTCCTCTGAGCTCAGTTTATGTCTCAGTTAAAGCCTCTTAGCTCTGTGCAGGCTGATCATCGATGTGACGTCCACAACTGAAGTGAAATCTCCACACAAAGCAACCATCCACACACGCATCCTTGGACAGCTCGGGAAAACTACCCCGATCTCCGACAAATCTTCGCCCTCTCTGTGCTTTAACGCACTTTGGAAGACATCTTGGCGTCATTTTAATACTTTTTAAGGTAGAGTATGTCCTGTGTGTCTTATTTTGGAGTAAAATATGTTATGTTTTTTTACTCCACAAACTTGCACCGATAGAGATGATAGAAGTTGTTGGTGACCTTCTGATGATTGTGGGTTTGTAGGATAAACTGCTTTAGCTTTCATCATCTTTGGATAAGCTGTCGATTATTGAACCTAAAATGTTCCAAAACCATATTTACTTGCTTAAAGGTGTTTAGCTTTTCTTTTTGGTTGGATCCTGGGGAAAAAAAAATATGTTTAAACCAACCCATTTTAATGTGACTTAAAACTGTCAAAACCATTTTTTACTCATGAGGGAATAAAAAAACACCCTCGCCATCTAACAGCAAGACATGTCCCATTTAAAGGTATTAACAAAATGAGAAGGGGACCTAGATGTGAACTGCTAGCTGAATTTGCCATTGGAATCCCCTCTGGGATTATTAAAGTATTATTGAATTGAATCTAAAGCCAGCCATCAAATCAATCTCTGAAAGGAAAAAAATAAAGGCTCTAATGGCCTAGTCAAAATATGGCACTAATTCAACTGAATACAGGCTTGCTTGCATCAGGCCGTTTATGACAGAAACCACTTAAAGCTTGCTGAATGTAAGCAATTCTGTTTAAAAAAAGCAGGCCTAAGGTTTATCCACAGGGATATAAAACTTGATATTCAGTTATTGTCTGTGAGAATGAACCAAATGGATGTCCCTGCAGACCTGTTTCTCCTGGGTTACAAAGGAGAGATGTCTGAGTAAGACAACCCCCCTCATCTCTCTCTTCCTGCCAGAGTTTCCACACCATCAATTTCTCTCAGACTATTTTCATGTGCCAATTTGAATTTGGAGTAAGAGAACTTTTCTGCATACATTGGATCCATCCTGAAGATCATGGTTGTCCATCAAGAGATTATAAGTTTAGCTGAGCGAAAGTCAACAGATGCAAAGAGGTCCCACTTACAGTAGTCAAATTTTATTTAAAGGGGACTACCACAGAATCACTTCCATTTTTTTTATTCATCTGTATCAAATGCAGCTCTGAGATGCCATAAAACCATGATGGAGGTTTTAGTTGCATTGCTGTTTAATTAATCAAAATCTAACCTTTTATTTATTTTTTTATTTTTTACTATTTTGCTTCAAATAACTGATTTTTTGTTTTATAAGTTCTATCAAAGTCAAAGATCTTAAACAATGAATTAGTGGAGCAATTAAAAGAAGAAATCATAATGCAGGACAAGAATTTCCCATTTTGCAAAAAAGTGAAAAGCATCCTATACATATAAAACTGGAAGATTTATTATATGTTATTTGTATGATTATTCAATATATACCTACTTTGATTTACTATCTATCTCTTTCATTGTAAAGGACAAAATAAAACCAAACACTACTTGTGCTTTCAGTGTATAAAGTCACATTTTTCAGCTTGCTGCTGTAACTGTATATTTACCATAAGTCCATTTTTGTCTTCTGTTGCATTGCAGATGCAGCTTCCATTTATCCACAGCCTGTAGCACTGCTGGAAGACGCAGCTTCACTTAATCAGAGAGTTAATCCAGAAAGTTTCCTTTCAACTCCAAACCTTAGCTTTCCTTTCTTAGGAAGTATTCCCCGATCTAACAAAGGTTCTGGATGGAATAGATTTTTTTTAAGTACTAAAATCTAAGGTCATAAAATAAAGACCCAGCATCTACTTCTTTTAGAGTTTTAGAGTCCATCTAGGAGCAGTTTCCTCCTAATATCAGTACAGCTTCTGTATGAAGAGGCCAAGAGGAGCTTTATGGATCCACAGCTTAGATGAAAGTGTCTGTAAATAGGAAAACTTTGAGCTGTGCAGAGAAAATAAAGAAGAAAGCAATTTTTTCCCGAGACATCCGTGAGAAATTGTGTTTGCAGTTTTAAAAAAAAGCCTTTTAAAGGGGGGAAACAAACATGGGAGGAGATGCTCTGGTCAGTCTGATGTGGTGGAAAACCAAAAGCCACCATTTGAAGGTGGCTGCTCCTTTCTTCAGCAGTGACAGGGAACCCAATCAGGTAATTGCATGGTAGATTGAGATAAATACAGCTTCTCACTAGAGGACAACATGTTAAAGGTGGATTAGATCAAATCAGATTTATGTTTCAGAATGAACTGTGATAAGCTCTTCAATTAAACAAAAAAATCTATTATTCAGACTCTCCACTAGATGTGACATATTGACCTATTTAGCAAAGCATTATTGTTTCAGACTCTAGACACTGAAAGTAAACCTATTTATAGAAGGTTTTGACTCTGGAATGTATGATTTAAAAAAAGTGTGTGCAGGTAGGGCGTTGTACGTTCATGACCATGTTTTGACCTTTGGGGCATTGGGGGGAAACAAGCTCATTTTCAACGGTTTCCTTTGCCATTTTCTAATTTCACCTGTTAATACACCAGCCTGTTCTGACCTGGTTGAACTCATCAGTGGAGACCTAATAAGTGTGTGTGTTATACCCTGCAGTGTTCAGGCTTGTTCACGGGGAGGTTACTGATGAGGACGAGGTTCGACTCGTTGCTGCAGAGCCAGGCAGCACCCTGGGTGTGTGTACATGTTTAGCAATTGAAATCTATTTTTCATGTACAGTTGAAAGCTTACAGACATCTGGATTTGTTTCTCTTTTCTAGGATTCCTACATCACCTGGGAATTATAGTGACATAAAGGTGTCATTTCATGTCTGCAATTTAGACATTTTAATTATGTGTATTCTTCGGTATAATTCAGCTTATATGCAACCTTTTTTTTAGTTTGTTAGATTAAAAATATACTGTTGAGCAATCAAGGTAAGGAGTCTTTTTATTGCTTTAAACAAACCATGATCACAGAACTATGGTGGCTGGGAAGTGCAAAACAATATTACATTTACCATAGACTTGTAAAAGTGTCACTGGTAAATTTAGTATTGTTTGGCACTTGCCACCTACCGTGCAGAGCAGCGATATAAAGAAAAAAACATTTGGTTTAATGAAACAACAGCAAAATGCTCTGCAGAAATGTACAGATAAATAGTTCACTTTGCTGACCATGAAATGAAAGATTACTGCAGATATTCGCTTAAAAATCCTGATAAAAATTTGCTGTGTTATTTCTTGATTCAGGTCACCTAAGACTATCTGATTTTGGCCTCTTGCACCGCTTGAGTTGTGAAGCAATCCAAGCCTCTTAAGAGAAAATTCACACTCAATTGAATTGTTCTGCTTCAATCTTGACTAAATGAAATCCCCCCCTCCTCATTATTAGAGCTACATCTCAGATTTTGCTCCTTTGGATTTAGTTACCCTAGTTAAAAATAAATAAATATATAAATAAAAATATGTATATCTTAATTTTACTTTTTTACTTTATTATTAAATATTATTGTTCAACAAATAAATGTTATTAAAAAAAGGGAGTTATTTTTGGTCACTGATTTCAGAAACTCCAACTTATATTTTACATAGATTAGCTGACAGAGAAAAACCCGATTCAGCAGCAATCATACAAAATTGTAAAAAAAAAAAAAAAAAGTAAACATTTTGCATTTAAGATATAAATTGTTTTCGTCTGTCAATATGCTCTCTCCAGCACTACTCAAATTGGAAAGTTTTTGTTTAAATTATCAAAAAGCGTTCTTTGGATATCCAATTATTAATTGATTAATCAAAAAGATAATTGACAGATTAATCGATTTGCAAAATAATCTTTGGTTGCAGCGTTAATTGAAATAACACTTGTGGTGTTACATCCTAATCAAGGTTAGGTTGCTGAGAGAGGTCAGCTGATGGTTAATGCCTTTCAGCTTCCACAGAAGAGGTAAGGCACAAAGCAACACATCATTGCTAAAACTGCTGGTCGTTAGTGCTGCAACCAATCATAGTCAAATATCATTGGATGGTAAAATTGTTGGAGAAAAGTGGTCCAACAGGGATTGAATGAAATGCCAAACCCAATCCATTAATCATTTTGGGAAGTTTGACACAGATTGGACTGAGCTTTGGTCAACAAGCAAAACGGCAGAGATGAATCCTACATTTTGCTCCAATGAAACACTCTGTTTCTTTCAAGTCACTCTGTCCCATAGAGTGGACAGAAGCTCTGTGGTATAAAGTTTTTTCTTCAGAGGATAGAGAAGTTGTAATTTCCCTTGAAAATCAAGGAAGCAGTTTTTGGATGGTTTTAGGCTGGTTCCTTTTTCAAACAAACTTTATTTGACCCACACTGTGAAAGATGCAAAAAGCTGGTTTTTGACAGTGATGTTACACTTAACTTACGCTGCATGTGGCTCTGCTCACTCTGCTAAGCTGCAAATTCTGCATAAATGTGCAGCCATTATTACCATTGAGAGTTTTCACGCAGCCTTCTATGCTTCATTAGCCAATAAACTCGCCTGACATGAAACCCAAAGAGGATCTAGGAGGAATCTGTTGTCATTATTTTTGTTTGCTTTACTTTAATGATTCACAAGAAAATGTTGACTTTTTTTTATTGTTGTCATTTTTCCATTTATCTTTCTTTATGTTGTGTTTTTCAAACAGCTCCTGAAGTTTTAAGCAGGAATCCTTACAGCCATGCTGCAGACTGGTGGTCTCTTGGGATTTTGTTTTCCCAAGGTGCTGGCAAGGTAATAGTTTTCAGATTTACTCACAATACATGCTTATGCTGGTGTTTCCCACATCTTTGTTTCTCTTTTTGCAATTTCCCGTGGCTGCAGAGTCAAACCACATCAACATTTTGAAGGAGGTCATAGATTGTCCTTATGTTCCACCAAAGTCTCTGAGCTCTGATCTGATCCTGCTGCTCTGTGAGCTCATTTAGCTCCCATTACATCCTAAGGTTGCTCAAAAGTTCACACATACTGCTCTCCTTACTGCTTCAGCTTATATGAAAGAGTCCTTTGTAATCTGCAACATTTCAAGATGCAGACCGTCTTCAGAGGAATATCGTTCGACTCGACCCTCCTACAGAAAATGCCAGTGAAATTCCTGCTAGAACTCAGAAATCACCCTGATTGGAGGGCCAAATCGAGCAGAGGATCCACGGTGGACTCGTTTGACAACTTTGACCTTGAGAACATCTTAATCTGTCCTTCAACTCTCACTGAACCATCTTCTACCTTAACCTCCAGGGAGGATGTGGGTTTAACAGCAGAGCAGGAGTGGAACCATAAAACTCTTTGAATAAAGTGTTTATTTTTACAGATAAACAAGTTGTTTTCATTGCATTTCAACCTTATATTAATTATTTCATCAGTGAAATGAGGCCAAGGTGGGTCCACAAACTATGGGAGTACATTTGTTTCTCAAACATTCATTTCAAATTGGATTTCCAAACATTAAATATGTTTTGGCATAAAGATAAGATTTTTGAGAGTAATTTGCATTTTAAAAACAACGTAAATAAAATAAAACACAGTTTGGCATCATGTTCATCTGCATCATCCTGTCCTGGGATGCAGGGATGGGGATGCAAATCATGCTCATTGTTTGTTTTTGTTTGTTTTTTTTTAAATATGGTTACTGCACTTAATAGCCTCATTAGCAGTGACCAGATGCACATCAAATCATTTCATGAGGGATTCAAAAAATTGAAAGTATCCATGTGCTAAATAATAGCTTAATAATAAACAAAGATAATATTAATTGTATATAGAACTTGCTATAACAATTCATAATGGTTCAGATATTTAAAACTTTTAGACAGGAAGTTATCTTGAATAAAGGATAAAACTGAGAGTCTGCCTGCCTCTGCTGGTCGTGAGAACCTTTTCAGATTTTCTGGACTGCTGTTCCCTGCAAAAAGCAAAGAGGAGCTCTACACTTCCAAACTAAACAAAGTATCCTAGGTAATGCACAATGCTACATGTGATCCAGCTGAAAACAAATGGAGCACATTGAAGTCTGTTATTTACATCTGTTAGATGTGAGGAAAAGCAGATATATTTGACCAAAGATAGAATAATGATCAGAACTACCAGGTTCTGAGGAGGAAATCCTCAGAGAAGCTTCATAAATGTAGGTAAGGATGCAGATGTGCTGGTGTGACTATGAAGGATACTGAGACGTGATAAGAACCATTTAAACAGCAGCTGTCAGAAGAAATTCCCATTAAAAACAGACAATGCATCCAAAAGATTACGTGCCCAGAGATAAGAGAGAATGTGAAATTTATAAATTGTTTGATTTGTTATTTGGACGTTTTATTTTTATGCTGCATTTTCATCTATAAAGGTACTTCTTTACTTATAAACAGTTTAAGAACAATTTGCACTCTTCTCCTTTTTGAAATGCAGCAGATGGACTTTCTTCTGTTCCTACAGAAATAACTTAGCAGCTTTAATGTTCAGCTGTCTGCAGGTGGAGGTGCCGCTGTGCTTTAGGTTCATTGATCTTCTTCATATTTGTTTGAGCTAAAGGTCCGACATCTCTTACAATCTCTTACAGATAGTAATCCAGGTCCTGATGACATTAAAAGCCCCAAAACACTGTACCCATGACTGCAGCAGGCACGATGGTATTTTCTGATATAATGCTGTGTTTGGTCAGGTTCTGTACAGTATAACAGGGCATATACTGTAGCTACCAAAAAGTCCAGAGTATTTTTTTCCCACTGCTTTCATTTTTTTTTGTTTTTGTTAAATGTGACTTGTCTTTTGTTTCCTTTTTCTTTCCTTGTTTTTTATGATTTAATACCAGCAGTCTTCCATTTTAACCCCATCTTTTATTCTTAAATCATGAACCTTAGCTGAGGAAAAATAATGGCTGCTGTTCTTTGGACACCATTCTGGGTTCATTTATAACCTCCTGGATGGGCTGCTGAAGCATTCCTGAAGTAGCTTTGGCGGGTTGGGGTTCACCACTATTTATGTTTGTTTTTTCCATTTGTTCATAATGACCTGTCTTTACATGTCAAAGGATGGTTGTTCTGAATTTTTTCGGAGTGTTTTTAACTTACATCGTTGTATCAAATGTGCATTTCAAGCCAGTTTCTCAGCGATGTTTCATCATGACGGCATAAGGACTGTGGTTCGCTGGATGTTTGCTGGCCAACTTTCAGCCTCTGCCCGACCTATTTAAAGATCTCTCCAAAGCCCATTTAGGACGTCCATAATTAGATGGGAAAATTGAGCACCAGATAAAGTATCATTATTAAACCTATTTAATTAGCTAACATGAAGAAAAAAAACCAGCAGTCCCCAAGGAGCCGGCCATGTATAATTGCTGCACTTGAAGGAGCCACGTCTGCTAAATGGAAGAATGTCGGTTCCTCCCTGACATTGAATTCCCTCTCAGGCCCTTGTCTTAGACAGGTCCACCAAGTCTGTGTTTTGGCCCTGTGGGTGGAACACAGTCCAGTGACCCACATCTGCTTTCACAGGCACACTGACCCAAAATAGAGAAGAGAGGAGTCCCCCTGAAAAGACAGGAGATTCTTCTCACCCGGGGGCTGCAAGAACTCTCCTAACTTAACTGAGCACAAAATAGAAGCAGTGTTATTATCAAAAGTAAGTAAATAAACATTTCAATCTCAGGGCACTAGATCTCTGAGACATTAAAGAAAAACTCCAGCTTTTAACCCTAACATCTACTGCCGGATATTGCTATGGTTTGTTGTCACTTTTTTCCCAATCAAATATCACCCTAATATTAAACTAAAACCTAGCATATTATACCTCTTTAGAATCAGGCAATGCAAATGAAAATGAACATCAACTCAAATGTAAGCCAACTATACTCTACAAAAGCCATTAACTAATAATAAACGATACAGAAACGCTGCTCGGGCCTAATAATTTGTCATCAACATAGAATTCCTAATTTTCAGATCCTACTTTGTTTTTCTGTTCTGGCGATCCGAAACACAACCGACGATGGCAAAAATAGGCTCATTTTGTCCGTAACACTCCACAGAAACGTAAATCTAAATATAGATGTTCGGTTTTATATGGTCAAAAAGTCATAAAATTGAAATAATCCAGTTTGCAACGTTTGGTCCAAATTTGGCACAATTGAATCCTGTAGAAAAAAAGAAAGCATCCAGAACTTTGGTTGGTCCACAGATTTCTTTTTTGTTGTATTATTTATAAAAGCAGTGAGGATGTTTTATTGAAAGGGGGAGTTCTGGTAGCAGGGATACATGTATTTGTGCCGCTGAAGAACTTTCACTGGGGATGAAAAATCCACTCTTAAAACTGAAACTGGTTTTCTTTTTCATCGATTAAAGCTACATTAACAAATTTAGTATGAGTCACCAAAACCTGGTTTTAAGCATAATTTCCTATTTCTGTTTTCAGAATCAGTCTCATTCTGAATAGTTGGAAACTTAAAATCAAAGCTAGAGGATGTATGACTCCTGAGACTTTGAGGGTTTCAGTACAAAATTATCAGGAGACCAGAAGCTTTCCTTTGGGCACTTTTTTACTAATTAAGACAAAAATAAAACACCCCAGGAGAGAGGGGAAAGGCTAAAATTAAAACTGCAATAGGGACAAAGAATCTGGCAGAATATGACGTAGGTTTGCAAAGTAGCCTGAATCCAGACAGCTTCTGATTCAGAAACATAAGTAAAGTTACAGGACCTTGTATTAAGATTACTTTCATTTAAATCTGCTGATGAGTTTTTGATTTATTTGGTTTTGTAACATCCCTTAGAAAGAAATGATCTAAGCTGTATAAAAAGGATCAAGGTAACTTTACTGATGCCCTTTGGAAAAAGTATTTTTGCAATTCATAAAGAAGAAAAATTAATACTGTGCAACACAGACATTAGAAGAACAAACAGCCAGAAGTGGATCTGTAAATGTTGCAAAATCTAAATAGTATAATGATTCATCAAAATTTCTACCTTGCTTTATGTAGGACAGAGATGGGTGTATAAACCCCGCCCAGGGGTGGCAGCTTTGTGACACAGTTTGAGTTGCATACAAACTGGAGCTGACAGAGAGACTCTATCACTGCTCATCAAATCATCAGATCAGGTAAGATGTTTTATTATGTCCATCTTTTGATACGTTATTATTTTACCTGCATTTTATCTAAAATTTTTTGCTTTGTTTTTTTTATTTTTTTTTATGCACGGTTAAAATTCCCAAACCTTCCTTTAAAGCTTTAATTATCTCCGATATTTCTTTTATAAATCTTTTGCATTTTTTTTTAATTAAGGCTTTAAAGTCTAGAATAATCTAAGAAAAATTTAACTATCAAAACTATTTTTCCATTTTTGTATTTTGAAAAAGAAAAATAAGTAAAGAAAATATAAATTGCTTTTACACATTTACTGTTATAGAGGACCACACTTTACTTTTTAATAATGTATTTATATTTGATATTAACATTTGATGTGTTCCTTGGTTTCAACTAATGAAGAAATATAGCACAGGATGAAGGTGAGCCTGCTTTATAATCGAGTGAAAGACAAAATTAAAATATTCCAGATATTTACTGATGAAAAAAAAAAAAAAAGATTGACACATTTGTTTTGATAAAGATTTTCCAAAAAAAGTTGATGTTTTAAACACTTGTCAGTAATTGATAATAATATTCTAACAATTGCTTGTGTTTATGGTTGATAATTCAGAGGATTTATAGTCAGCAAAATACTCCCTGGTTTACAGTAAGGATTAGAGTTTACTATTCTAAAGAATTAATTAAATACAAAATTCATCATGAATAAAACTAGATTCATACAATTAAAAATACATTTTGTTTAGCTTTTCTTGTATGCTTTTATTATGGCACGGTTTGCACTCTTTCTCAGGGAGATATGTTTTTCAAACAGTTGTGGAAACTAAACCATTTTAGAAGAAAAAACAAACAAACGGAATAATCAACATCCATATTATCTGGTCATAGTACTAATAGAGAATTATGATGTATTATACTTTTAATAACTGATAGAGAAGCATAAAAGTTTTGCACATGCAGATCTGAACTAATAGTTAAAAAAAGAGACATTATACATTAAGGATGAAGCTCATAAAAAACCCAGGTGAAAAATGAATGTTTTTGGTATTAAATAAGCAACTGTTCTTTGCCTTTGCTGCAGCCCTTTTTCACCTGCAGAAACAGAATCATCATAAGTTAAGCTCCCCCACCAAACCTTCCCTGACAGACAATCCAAGGATGACGCACCAGTTCCCAACACTCTCCGAGGCTCAGAAGAGGGAGCTCCATGAGACAGCTCTACGCATAGTTTCTCCAGGGAAGGGCATCCTGGCTGCAGATGAGTCTGTTGGTCTGTAGCACTATGGCTTCCTTCCTGCATATGCATGTAAAAAAAAAAAAAAAGAGAGATTTTCTAATCAAAACTGTTCTGCTTGACCTCCTTGGAGATATTACTAGAAGAAAATGTACATGTGAATGTAAACATTTTATCTGCAGGCAGCATGGCTAAGCGGCTGGCCCAGGTTGGGGTGGAGAATACGGAGGAAAATCGCAGACAGTTTCGTCAAATCCTCTTTAGTGCAGATGATCGCATCAACAGCTGCATTGGAGGGGTTATCTTCTTCCATGAGACCCTGTACCAGCACTCTGATAATAGTGTTTCCTTTGTAAAAATGATCAGGGACAGGGGAATCCTGGTTGGGGTCAAGGTCAGTCAGCTCACTACTGAACATGCAGTCTGAGACAGGTCAGAATTAATTCACGTTTCTCCTTCTATCAGGTTGATAAAGGTGTTGTCCCCCTGGCAGGAACATGTGGAGAAACCACCACACAAGGTAAGACAAACCTCATCTATGGAGAACATCTCTTCTTTAAAAGAATGGCAATCATAGCAGCTTATGTGCTTTTTCCACAGGCCTGGACGGCTTGGCAGAGCGCTGTGCCCAGTATAAAAAGGACGGAGCAGTCTTTGCAAAGTGGCGCTGTGTGCTTAAAATCAGTGACTCTAACCCATCCAAACTAGCAATCACAGAAAATGCTAATATTCTTGCACGTTACTCAAGCATCTGCCAGCAGGTGAGAGGGATCAGTGGTCTGAACATCTTTTATGGGATAATATATGTGTGTTAATTATCCTCACTATCTTGGGCAGAATGGCATTGTGCCTGTAATTGAGCCAGAGATCCTACCTGATGGTGACCATGACCTGAAACGCTGCCAGTACGTCACAGAGAAGGTGTGCTGCTATTCGAAATATACTATTTACAGCATATAGAAACATCTGAAAGTTGTGGCTCTAATGAAGGTGTAAAACATACAAGCTAAGAGCTGAAGAAGAAGCTGAGAATCTAACTATCCAGTAGTTACCAGATTTTTTAGGTGATTGTTTGAATGACTCCACTCCATGATGCTAACTCAGTCTCCCCTCTTTGATATTGATATTGCTCAAATAATCAACTAAACATATAGAAAATAACAAAGATGCATTTTTTTTAGTCATTAGAGTTTAAAAAAATAACAATTTTAAAAGAAGCTTTGAAATTTAGAAAATCTTAAGACCAGCTTAAAGGTGTTGTGGAGCATTTTTGTGATTTTTTAAAAGGCCCGCCCTCTCCACTTTAGAAAAAATGCACATGCACAACCCTGTACCTGCTCCCGAGAGTAAACGCCTATCAAACGTGTGCGAGAGCATGCATGATCCCAATTCTCCTCGTGCACGCTCTGTTTAAAAGTTGCTGTTTGCATCGCTCTTACAAGCTTACTGTGTCCGAACATCTGCCCTAATACCTCAATCACTACATAGAGTGGGGGCTGTATACCGAAATTTATAGCAAACTCGGTAAACTTAGAGTTCAGACAACTGATCACTGCTGCTCCATCTTTGTTATTAGTCTCCGCTGTCGCTACTCTACAGCGGGCCGCTGTGACAGCAAATCTCATAATGCTTTTTGAGGCGAGCTCTCCGCACGAAGCATTCCAGGATAAATCCGCCTCTTCTGAGGCCTTTCTTTTCTTCTCGTACACTTCGTAGACACCTTTTCTCCTATGACCCTTGACCATTTTTGAAAACAGTGGTGAGAAAGGTGAGCTGAAACTGTAGCTCACCACACATATAGCCCTGAAAATGTGCATGCGCAGAAAAAGCTAGTTAACGGGACGAGCACGTAGGATGGCCTTACGTAAACATATCACCAGAATGATTGACAATTAGGAGGACCACTTATTTAGATTATCCACCTGGAAATAAAATATCGTTTTCTATACCTTTAAATGAAAAAGGACAGAATCTGGCTCCTGAGAAGCAAAAATATAGCCAAATATAGGCCTACATGATAAATAGACATGATTGAAGACTTTAGCTAAAAAAAAATCCTAGTTGAAACATTGTGTTTTAGGTGCTGGCTGCTGTGTACAAGGCCATGTCAGACCACCATGTTTATCTGGAAGGCACTCTGCTCAAACCAAACATGGTCACTCCTGGACACAGCTGCCCCACCAAGTACAGCCCAGAGGAGGTGGCGATGGCATCTGTCAGCGCCATGCGTCGCACCGTCCCCCCAGCCGTCCCAGGTCAGTCAACATCATAACTTCAAGCTGCTTTGTTATTTATTCTTATTAAATGTGATTTATCAATACAATAATTGGTCCATAGTTCTGGAATACACGATAAAAGATAAAATGTTTTACATAAACTTTTGATTAGTGTATATTTGTATTCATCTTCCATATTTGTATTTTGTAGCCTGTAACAACTTTTCTACCCAAATGTCTATAAATGTAGTTCTATTCATATTGACATTGATTCTATGTAGTTTTAATGTTTTACTAAAGAAAAACATACATGCAGCTTGATACTACCACCTCTGTGTTTTTTGCACTGCAGATGGTTTTCAGGTTTGTTTGTTCTCATCTGAGCAGGACACTGTCTTCCATCCAGCTCTGTTCCTTATATGACCTATGGCAAACTGCAAATGGAACTTCCTGTGGCTTTTCTCCAATAGATTTTTTGTTTTTTCAAATAGAGAGGTCACATCCGTGGGAACTTTTACATTAGACATATCACATAATTATAATACATTTAGTTATAACATTCAGAAATGTGCCAAAAAAGACTCTACAGGTATCACAACTTTCACAAGGGAAAAAAAAAAAAAGATGCCAAAAATTGATGTTCTATTTCCTGCAGGAATTTGTTTCCTCTCTGGAGGTCAGAGTGAAGAGGAGGCCTCCATCCACCTCAATGCCATCAACAACTGTCCTCTGGCTAAACCTTGGGTCCTGACTTTCTCCTTTGGCAGGGCTCTGCAGGCGTCAGCCCTCAGAGCCTGGAGAGGACATAAGGAAAATGAAAAAACTGCCACAGAGCAGTTCATTAAGCGAGCTGAGGTATTTTTCCCTGACTTGGTCAGTGGGTAGAACACCTATAGCCCAGCTTTAATTGATGCCTCTCTTTGTGTCACATTCTTTCCACAGGTGAACAGCCTTGCATGTCAGGGAAAATACAGTGGAGGTGACAACTATAGTGAGGCCGGCCATCGCATCTTCGGCTCCTGCCATGCATACTGAGCAGAAAAAAGAAAAGAAAAAACATCTTCCATTTTAAGTAGCATTAAGCTTCATTTCTTAAGATGTATCACAGGTTAATTTAACTGTAGTAACTTAGAATTAGTGTTGCGCTGATGCCATTTTTTGGCACTGATACAGATAACCGATACCTGGCTGTGCAGTATTGGTCGATATCATACCGATACCATACTGATACCATCCGTTTGAAAGTGATGTGTATATATATGAAGAACTGCGTACTAATTGGGTGTAAAATAATTGCCATCATGGCTTTGTCAAGCTGCCGTGAAGCAGGAAAAAAACTAATACAAAGTGAATCCAGTAGAACTTTTTATGGCCTACCTGGAATGGATGACAATAGTTGAAGAAATTTTTGTCTCTCAAAATGGTATCGCTGCCATATTTGTCGGTGCTCGCCGAAACCGATACCACCATTTTAGGACAGTATCAGAGCCCGCCAATACTGGTATCGTATCGGTGCAACACTACTTAGAATAGATAAGAACAAATGAAACACATGAATATGTTGAAAGAAAACAGCTAACAGTGTTTTATTGCCTTGTTTACCGAAGACAATCGGGAACGTATTTAGGATTTCTAATATCTGAAGGGAATTCTCTACTTTCTTTGCATAATGTGTGCAAAGTCAGTTCATAAGGTCGATGAACTAAGGCTAAACAGTATTACTGTTCTCAAACAGTAAATGCTTAAATCCTATGAGATGGTTTTGGCCTTATAGCTCTGACTAAAGTCAATATCAAAACATGTCATCTTCTAAATAGCTTCAGTTGCTAAATATGTGCTAAAGCTGTTCTTCATCACTTTTCAGAAGTGCACCTCAGCTTAGCTTAGTAGTGGCCATGCACAGATAAAAATATATTCCCTGGTACTAGCCTCTGCGCTCCCCACTGCCCTTGTCTGTTACAAGATTTTTATCTGTAAAATGAATTTGGTTGAAATCTAATACAATAAAAATGCTGGTGAAGTTAAGTCTGTTTTTTATGGGATGGTGTAGATTCACGAGCAAAGTTATTCCCTTTCTTATGTTTTCATTGTGTAAGAACAACCTCATGCTATAAGACACACACTGAACAGGATTTTTAGCACCCGGTCTGCCCAGTGCACTTATCAAATCTATCGCTGTTGGCTGCCACGTCCCGCTTCTGCTGCTCTCTCTGATGATACAGTTGCACTGCTTGTGTCTGAACTCCAAAACAATGTTTCATCTTAGCTCTGTTTTTGGAGACACCTGACACCTATGTTATATATGCAACATATTAATTATTTTCGCTTGAGGACAGAAGTATTTTTGACGTTTCTATTGACAGTATGCAATGTATATATTGGACTCTCTCTCAAGATGGTGAATCTGACAGTGACAAAAAAAAAACTGCATATTAGGAGAGCTTTAAAAACTTAGTTACATCTTCTTGATGGAATTTTTATTTTTCAAGGAGAGGCTGTCCACAAGGTATTCAGTGTGTTTATGCATGTTTATCTAGTCTGTTCTTATTTATCCCAAAGGTGTTTCAATGGGGTTGAGGTCAGGTCTCTTTGCAGTAAACTCAAGTTCATTCACACAAGATTCTGCCATGCATGTTTTATGGACCTTGCTTTGTGCACTGATGCACAGTCTTATTGGAAGAGAATGGTCCAGCTGCAAACTATTCCCACATGGAATTTTCCAAAATGCTTTAGTATGGTGAAGCATTCAGAGTTCCTCTCACTCAAACTAAGGTGCCAAGCCCAACTCAAAAAAATTTGGCCCGTTGTGTTGGGAGCTGGGTCTATATTAATGATGACTCTAACCTCGATATTTTTAGCATGGTTAGCCAAGCTAACCAATCTTATCTAGGTGGATAGCCACAAGCTGCCAGCGAGCTCGTTCTCCAGGTGGCCACAGGTGACCTATCGTTCAAACTACCTGCGAGTTGAACTATAATCAGAATACATGACGAGCCGCCGAGAAAGCTGCGAAAGATGAGAAGTTGATCGCGGCGACGTGTGTCAGATTTTTTGAGACACTATATTGTTAAAGTTGGACAGCTATAATTGGAAGTGGGACACCCTTTTGCAGCAAAAACACAGTAACAAAATAGCAAAAAAGTATTTATAACTGTCAAAATCTTAAGAAGACGAAATCACGTGTGATTTTGCAAACATAAAAAAGAGTAAACCTTTTCTTTTAAATTCTGTAGGTAGCACACACATATCATGAATGCCTTTGGCAGAAAATAAAATGAGCAATTTTAGATTAACATAGATTAATTCCAAGATTACAGTGAGATTAATCTAGATCAAAAAAAAATCTATGCCCACCACTATTTTTGATACAAGTGTGCCCAAAGAAGAAGTTTACCATTTATTTTCCCCCAGGAAAATGAATAGCAAAATTTTCTAAAGCATCTCCATCAAGATTAATGAAAATAGAAAGATACTCAGCTGACACCACTTAACCAAGTTACAGAAAAGACGCCCCGAACCTGTGAGGAAAAGATGAAACAAAACTGTTTAGAAAAAGTAAGTGGTGTTCAGGAGCAAACTGGGAATCTTCAACACTCAAGCCTGCTATGAACTGGAATCTGACGAATAACCAGGAAACTCTCTATTATTAATATTTTTTTATTGACAAGGCAGGAGGCTATTTGCATGACAAATGAATAAGAGGTAGACACCCTCTTGTGTTGACTACAGTAGGAAAATACATCAAATGTGAGGTGGATCATTGTCCAGTAAACAGACAATATTTAAAATACATTTAGAAATTTATAACATCTTCAGAAACCAAACTAATAGCATTTACTTTTTCCCTCTTTTTTTAACACCACTCCAAACTGAGACAAGAATCAAAGGAGAGAGGTCAATACTGCACAGAATATTGTATAATAATTACAGATTACTTTTAAACAGCTTTTAAGGCATGAGGATCCTCTGTATTAAAACTGTTAGACTGACAGAGAGCAGAAGTTAAAAAATAAAACTTATAAAGAAACAATCAAAATTGAAAAATTTCTATTGATTTTAAAATTAAAATAAAAAAGTCATTTCTGCAGAAATATTAATTAATTAGAAAGCTTACCACCACACAACACAGCACATGAAGATGGAAACAATTAAAACATACCATTGACAATGACTTAGCATTTTGATTTTTCAATAGTTTTTTTCTTTAGTTTGGAGTGCTCATGGCTGCTAAAATAGAGAGTAAACACAAAGGTGAGAACCAAAAAGCCGTCTCTTGACCTCTGGGATGAATTTCTGTGCACAGATGAATCTGAAGATAAAATACATGGACACTGTAACAGAGGAAATGGTTGGAATAAACCAACATTTTATTATACACAGAATACAAAATTGTTCCACATATTAGAAGATGATTGAAGAGCATGTTGGGGAAATGTGTCAATCAAAGGGGGGAACATCAGCTATTAAAGGGATAGGGTGGCCAAACATTTTTCTAAGCTAGAAAACACATTTTTGTTTGTCATACTCAGCAGTGGTATTACATTACTGTCTCGATTCAATTTTAACTTAAATTTAGTTGAATATTTTGCACATCTCCATTGTGACATTACCATAATTGTGAACCATCCCAACATTTACCCTAATCTCAGTATCAGTGCTATCAATGTGTTTATGACCAACATACAGAGTGCCTGTTTTCTTATCTTCCTGAGACCCACCAATATATTGTTGTTCCTTGTAGGGGACAAGATGTTTTGATCTCTATTGCAAATATTATTCTGATGTCATATGTGTGGGGGTTAGGCTAAAAGAGCACATGCATTGTCATTTCAAAATGGTGGAAAGCCCTGCATCCATGTTATTTGGCAGTAGGGAAGGTAAATGATCAGTTATCTAAAGAAAACACACATCTGTTACAAATATTTAACTTTCTTTTTAATCCTTTAACTGCCTTGTCATCCTCCAACCTGCATTTTGCCTAGCTAATTGTCCCAATTTATTTGAGCAAGCAGTTAAAGGGTATATATTAAAAGTCTGTAGTTTAAGTTTGTAAAACTGTGGAAATGTACAATAACACTTAGCCTTTCAAAACAGAAGTTTTATTTAATGTCCTTTTTAGGGGACAGCAGGACTTGCTAGCGACTATTTTAATAATATTTCATACAGAACTCTAAGTAAGGCATAAAAGTTTTTCAATAATGGTGGTGGTGGGGTATCAAATATCAAGGTGATGAGAAAAAAGGCTAAATAGTGGAGTAGGAAGGTGAAGCCACATGGAACAGTGCAAAAGTTTTAAAGCTCCAGGAACAAAGTAAGGAACATCACTAGTAAATAATAAATGGAAAACAATGTAGTAGCTGTGTATGTGTTTTAAAAATATTACAATCTGCAAATTGTAATTGATATATTTTCACTTGAGAAAACTTATTCATAATGTAAGGCTTAGTTAAAGAGAAGCATGTAAAAAAAGGTTGCCTCGTTTGGTCAAAACCAGGGATGGACTGTGGCTGTGTTCATATCAGCAACTTTGGAAACACATTTTTAAGTATCACATTAGAAAGGGTTTTTGGAAATTACAATATTTGAAACATTTCCTCTATTTGGCATTAGATTTGAATTAGATTTTTTTTAATGATTTTTAATGAGGAATGTGTGTTTACAGAAAATGTAGCAAACACTGCAGGGTGTCATCAATATTCCTCAATATTGGTAACAGCATGAGAATAGATTAAACGATATGTGTCATGCTGATCTCTCTCCAAAGAACAATATACTGAAATCTATGCATTAATGCAGTCTGAGGGCCATCTAGTGGCGGAACTTGAAACTACACAGATACAGTAAAAAGTAAAAAAGGATACTAATCTAGACAAAAGGATACTAATCTAGACAATAAATGCTAATAATTGAGAGTCTTGTATACAGTCTCCACACTATGTAACATCACTAAAGCCTCATTTCCAGTGAAAATAGCGGGTTAACCCGAGTTTTTCAAACATGGGTCGACCTGCTGACAATCAGCATTTGGCTCCCTTACCAATGGCGAAAATAGCTGGTTCTAACTCCTCGCTGGCAAGCTGTGTGACCTCTGTCCCCGCCCGCTGCATTTCTGGTGACACTATCACGCTGGGTTAACGTTGATTATGTCAGCAGTGCGACAAAAATCAGGAAAGTAAACAATGGAGAGCAACACTGGGTGGAGTGGCGGCCTAGTGGTTAGGGCATAGAGGTTGGAATCCTGAGGTTCTGAGTTTGAGCGCCACTCCCACAGACTGCCACTCTGGCTCTCTGAGCCTTAACCCTACACTGCTCCCTGGGCGCCACACAATGGCAGCCCACTGCTCTCCAAGAGGATGGGTTAAATGCAGAGCTAAATTTCTTCTGGGATCAATAAATTTCAATTATTATTATATTAACATGTAAGGAAGCCAGAGAGTAGTAATTGTGCTTTATTCTTTTGCTCTTTTATCTGTCGGAATCCCTATCACCAGTGCTGCACCATGTTTATCGAATGTAAACAGTTATTTTGGCTTGTTAGATCAAACAAGATTGGCGCAATGTGTTGACATCAGTATGTTGCACTCAATGGCATCACGTAAATTAATGGGTCAACTAGGGTCAGGTGTTCTCACAGCATGCCGCTTGGAGACAACAGTATTGATGCTTTAATCAGTGATCAACAGAAGGATTCACTAGCATTGCAACTTATTCTTTACATTTAGGGCCATAGTCCTTGGAGGTGAACCTCCACCCTACTCTTAAAATTGTTGCAAGCCTAACACATTTACTTACACTGTTAAAGGAATGCTCTGTGGCTACACCTTGAAGCTTTCTCTCTCTGGTTCTTTTTCCTGAAAAAAAGAATAACGCTTCTTAACTTATATGCATTAAACAACCATGAGAAGTGACAACTGATTTTGATAGAAATTGTAATCTTACTCAGATCAGAGAAGTTGCTTAGAGTTAAAGAAAACAGCTGCTTACCAACCGGGCTCACTTCTCCGGAAGTGACCCTGACAACCGAGAGAGAAGCATTTTAAACTTCAGTCTGCCACATCATCACATCTTTATATCATTTCAAAGGTAATTGGTTTCTCTGGATTATATTTAGGGGTGTCAGAGTAAAGAAAGATTAATGAAATTTACTCTACAAAATCTCAGAGAGGATGGAAACAATTTCTTTCTACCTTACATATATTCACTGCGTTGACTTGGTATTTCACATTACTCTAAAATGCATTACGCAGGTGCAGCAGTTGGACTAAGAGGAAACAGGCTGACCATCCGGGGTCTGGGATGGCCCCCTGGTTGCTCAACCTGTGTGAAACCCTGATGGATAGAATGTGTCCCTCTCCTCACTTCACTGCACACCGGCTTCTTTCACAACAGGTGCTCTGTACTGGATCAAAATGTTTCCTGCTGCTTGTTATTTTTTGTTGTTAATGGTTGACAGATCCTAAACCGAGACATTAGAAAGTGCCAGAAGAAAAAAAAAAAAAGAGTGACTGATCATAACTGATGATCAGTCACTCTATCCTATTTGGCTGCATGTCTCTCACATCCGTTACATAAAGGCAAACAATGACTTTGACCCAGTGTGGGAAATGATGCAGAATCCTTAATTTACATGTTTTTATCTGTTTCTATTTTTCTTTTCTGATATGATGGCAAATTTAGTTACTTTATAACCTTTCTGTTGTATTTTAGCCCAGGAAATCCCATACGGTCTCTCTGCATCAATATAGCTAATAAGTATAAACTAATCCTGCATATTACTAATGATCTACCACATTGATACTACACTAAAAGACTGTCTGACCAATAAATGGCTCAGCATCTTGTTGTTTCTCTTGTCATTGCAGTGAATTCTGTTTCTTTCATTTTGGCATCTGAAGCAAGAATAAAATATGAATCATAAAAATGACAAGTTAATAAATTTTTGTAAAAAGGATGAATTAAAGAAATTTATAATAAAATGCAACAAATAAAGAAATGATAACTTACTGATACTTAAATGCCACTACTATCACTACTACGGCTGCTAATACTAGTAAAAATAATGTTGCTTATTGAGAATAAATCTAATAATATTAAATTATACAAACATAAAACATCAACTTTGACATGGAGCAGGAGTACAGAGATATATAGTCTCTCATTATAAGACCTAAACTGTAGCAAAAATTTAAGAGTTTGCTGATGTGTAAATTCAAGGGAACCTTTATATTGAAGTTTTACTTGATCTACTGTAGGTTTTATAGTGCTATTAGAAAACAGAAGCATTGATCTGATTATTCTAATCCTGCTGCCTAAATAGAAAGGTTAAAAAACCTTTGTTGTTTGTTTTAACACAAAATACACACATTTTTAATTTTTGATACAACACACAGCTCTGTGAAAATCTGAAACGTACATGAGGTAATGTATACTTTATATAGTTTACAAAATATAAATTGCCGAAAATTAAAAAAATATTTTGAAATAATGTTCCGTAAAATACACATTTTAATGTCAATCCCATTTTATATAATCCAACTTTATTCAAACAGCACTTTAAAAAAAACAACAGGACAAAATTGCTGCAAAAAAGCAGTAATACAAACACCATTAAATGCACTAACATAAAAAAAACAATATAGATAAATAAGCAAAAAAGCAATATAGAAATTAAAAGAAAAAACATTAAATTTCTTAGTGATTTTTTTCAGCCAAAGTGTTTAACCCAAGCCATTAGGAGGTAAGGTGTCCAAAATATTCCTAGAATAGAAAACACATTTTATTAACATATTAATTCTTATTTGAAATATTTATAATGAAAAATGTTGAAATTAAAAAAAATTACATTTTGTATTTCTTCTAACGTAAATAAGTCGCTGCTAATTAATCTTGACATTTAAAAAAAATACACAATAGGTAATCAACACTGTTTATGTTTTGCCACAGCCTTCTTGTTAAATTTAAGGCAATTTATGGATATAATCAGACAAAAATAAAATCGAGGGAATAGAAAAATGCCTGGATTTACAATTTACTAAACAAAGAATCATGTCTGATTTCTTTAAATGTGGAGATAAAAGGACATATCTGGAGAATTAGATTTGTTTGACTTGTTTACCGAACAACATTTTCTATTTTTTGCATCGAGAGAAGATTAGACTAAGCTTTTAAAGCTTTTTATCTAAAAAAAAAAAACAAACAAACAAAAAACAACAAATTAAAAAACAAATAAAACACAACACACGTAGAAAATTAATACATATATAACCAAATACAAACCATATTTTTGGTATAGTAATAATTCTAAATTGTTGTTTTTTACATCTATTAGATAAATCCATGCATTAAAGATGAGAACATGAAACAGTAAAAAAGGGTATTTTAAAAGTAATATTGATGTGTTTTTTGCGTAATATATCGTTAAACCAGTAGAGAGCGAATGATCATTATACATTTAAAATGAAAATAATTATTATATTCGTTTAGTCACATCCACGACTCTAGTTTGATTCTATCGCACTATTTTCTGTGGCGGATGTGTCGAGTCTGGTGGAATTGTGTGACCTACGGCCTCTCACTAACGGAGCGCTGAGTAGTGATCCTCACATTGGATGGTAGTTGTCTGTTTCACGGTTTACAGGCTTTTCTTAATATCTGAACGATTAGTTTTTCGTTTGATAGTAATAACTTCGGAGTAACTATAGGTGTTTAGGGGGGGCTGGATAGTACATTTGGTGGAAGACTGTGAATAGCCTGTCGTTGGTTAGTTTGATACGTTAGCAGTAGCCATGTCGGGTGTAGTGCGAGGCCCCGCTGGGAACAATGATTGCCGAATCTACGTAGGGAATCTACCACCAGACATTCGCACTAAAGATGTCGAGGACGTGTTCTACAAGTACGGGACTATCCGAGACATCGACCTGAAGAACCGCAGAGGAGGCCCGCCGTTCGCCTTCATCGAGTTTGAAGATCCGAGGTGAGGGAGCTAACGCTCTTAGCCGTCCAAGCGTTAGCCAGTTTTATTGTGTTGTTAACGCGTTGCTCGGGGACCAGGCTATTTTCTGGACCAGCATTGTTCCCGTTTTCCAAACTGTGGTTTGGCTTTTTCTGTGTCTTTCCTAATTTGTAGCATCACACTGTATAGAGTTCATGCCGCAGCACCTCTTATTTTATTTTTAACATGTGTGTCTGGAAGTACAATTTTGCTTTTATGCATTTACAGCCTTGGTCAATAAAGGTCCTATACATCAGCATGCGCCATTTTGCTGGTGTAACTTTGATCCTCTTTCCCCAACTGTTTCACACCACCCAAACAAACGACACAATAACGAAACAACATAACAATAAAAACAAATAAAATAAACGAGCGTACTCATGCAAGCTCCTCCCCTTGTTAGTAACTTTCGGCCAAGTCAACCCGCCCACTTCTGTCAAGCTACAGTTGTTGTCATCAGCTGATGGTTCGCAGCACATGTTTTTTTTTTTTTTTTTTTTTATCAAAACACAATGATGTTTTAAATATTGTACAAGCACCTTGATCCATTATAAAAGGATGGCTCTGCACTCTGATCAGATAGTGTTTCCCTTGATTGAATCAACAAAAGGAAAGTAGACTGGTGTAATTTCTCTAACGATTTATTATGCAAATCCATTAAGCCGTCATAAATCGATCAATATTTAGATAGTCAAAGGTTCTTTATAGGACATTTTTCAGGAATTGAAACCAGGTCCAAAAAAATAGCTTTCCCACTTGAGGAGCAACTTATCAGACAAAAACATTTTGCCTGTCAATTTCATTGAGTTTGAAGATCTGAGGTGATGTGCTTACGCTCTTAGATGTCCAAGCTGTAGCTGTAAAATTGCAGTGTTGTCTGTATTTTTTATTTATTTTTTTTTCTTAAATGCAAAATGTTTGCTTTCTTCTTTTTTTTTTTTTTTTTTTTTTTACAATTTTGATATAATTGGTGCTCTAAGTGGGTTACTCTGGCAGCTAAAGACATGTTTTACAGTCCCTACGCTCCAGTTAACGATTGATCGATTACTAAATTAGTTGATGACTATTTCAATAAGCGATTAATCCCATCAATTGTTTCAGCCCTAACTTGAACATTAAATTTGATTGAGCTATGTGCAAGCACCAGTACTGTAAGAATTGTATTGATTTGTATTTACCTATTTCCTAAATACAGGGACGCTGATGATGCAGTCTACGGGCGTGATGGGTACGACTACGATGGCTACAGATTGCGGGTTGAGTTTCCAAGGAGCGGCAGAGGCTCCAGAGGTGGTTATGGAGGAATTGGTGGCGCACCCAGGGGCAGATATGGGCCTCCATCCAGACGCTCGGAGTACAGGGTCGTTGTGTCAGGTAAATGAACAATCCATTGTGCAGCATATTGTCCTTCACTCAGTAAAAGATTATGTTAATGTTGACCTTACTCCGTAGATGTCTTAAGCAAAAATTCAATTGTTTTTGCCCCCAAGGTAAGTCATGCTCCAAGTTAGATATTACTGAGTTCATATCACCTCCATAACCCAGAGGCATCCATGCATGTTGGAGTTAAAGATCTAATATGGGTGCCTGCAAGATGGCGGAGTGGCAGCCTGGTGAGTGGTGAGAGCGTTACGCTTGGAATCCTTAGGTTCTGAGTTCAAGCCCCATTCCCTCGGGTCCCACTGGGTCCCTTAGCAAGACCCTTAACTCCACACTGCTCCCTGTGCGCCGCACAATGGCAGCCCACTGCTCCTTAAGGGGATAGATTAAATGCAGAGGGTTGATTTTGTTACTCTGTGCTTGTGACAGTGTAATGACAGTAAAACGTTGGAAAAATTAATATAATCTATAGTTAAACTTGAAGGTCTAATATATTTATCTGCATTTTGGACAGATTTTTTTATTTTTTATTTTAGATTATCCTGGTCAGCAATGTTAATTTCCAAATGAACTCACATTTAATCTCAAAACATTTTGTGAGCTCTGTCGTCTGAATTTTCTCTGTCTAATCTCTTGTGTTGTGTGGTGTTTTGCTTGATATGTGGCTATACAACAAACTTCATAGTCCCAACCTGCTGTAATTATGTTATTTATTTATTTTTTTGTATTGTTTTCTTCACCTGGGAGATTTCTTGGGTTTTAAAACCCCACAAACAATGTTAAATCTCACTGTGTAAACCAGCCATTACATGGCATGGTAAACACATTCTGAAACTAAATTCTGACTGATGCTAAATGCCAACTGTCCTAATGCTACTTGCTAAAGCACCGATGCTTAAAACAACTTAAAAATGCTCCACAGTTGCCACAGTATTGACTAACACCTTGTCATTATTAACTGATGCCTTAGTTGGCTAGTAACTGTTGAAGCAAAAAAAAAAAAAAACAACAAGCCAGTGTGCCTACTTGCAATGAAAAAAGTAAGGAAATGTAGTTTGCATCTATCCAGAAGTTCTATACAGGATAGAAATATTTATTTACATGTGCACAGACTATGTATGTATTGACTATAAATGGTAAATATAAACAGAGAGTAATTGCAAGAGGCTATAAAATAAGGAAATATTAAAACTATATATAGATTATACATGATAGTTAGGATATGAATTATATATAAACGGGTTTAAAATACAGGATAAATAATTCCGGACAATAGCAGATATCACCCTTCTGCTAAGTTTCGAAACTATTGGAAGCTCATTAACAGGTAATGTGGGAAGTGGATTGAAGCAGAAAATTAGAGCACAAAAGTTTATGTGTAACAATCCAGCTTATTGTTATAATTGCATGAAGAACATGTTAAGCAAAATGCCTAGAAAAACACATTTTACATCACTGATCCTGATTAAGTTTGGAGTATATCCTTTGATATACTTCAAATTTAAAATTTATATAATTTTGTTTTGTATAAAAAGACGACATTTATAAAATCAGTGCTTAAAGAAGTCTGTGGGAAATTATTTAGTCTCAATTTGAGTGTTTTTTGTTTTATTTTTATGGTAGATCTGAGCTAAGTTAAACCAAAATACCAAGCAAGCATTTATGTTTTGTTTCATTATTTTAATACCAGAACTCTTAGACAGAAATATGAGGCTCGGGGCACAATAACAGCCTCTCTAAAACCACAAGCATGTTTGAAGCTTGAAATAATGGCATACACTAACATTTTTTCACATGCTACTTTGCACTGAATTATTAACAATAGATTTAGCTTTCTCTCAGGATGAAACAGTAAGGTTGTCTGCAGTAAATATTATGCTAACACAGCATGCTACTCTTTATCTCTGATCTGACTGCAATTTACCCTAAAGGTTAACCTTTACTTTGTCTTTATGCAAGTTGGGAAGTTGTTTTTCTAAGTAAAACAATCAAAACAGTTTTTTAAAATATTCTTTGCACGTATTCACTTTAACACATTTTCAGAGTTCGCGTCACGTGTTGTTTTGTTCAGGTCTTCCTCAGAGCGGCAGCTGGCAGGACCTGAAGGACCACATGCGCGAGGCGGGTGATGTCTGCTACGCCGACGTTTATAGAGACGGAACCGGAGTAGTAGAGTTTGTGCGCAAAGAGGACATGACCTATGCCGTCCGAAAACTGGACAACACCAAATTCCGCTCCCATGAGGTATGTGTACGGATTTGATTAACTGTCATGGATAAATATTCTTTGCTGTGTCGCGGTGAGTATTTCGAAAAGGGCTGTTTTTTGTTTTTTTTTTTACTTGTTAAACACCCAGCCCATAAGTACCCATCTGTATTTCCACCGGAGGCAGGGATGTTGCCTTTTCAATGTCAAGTTCTCTTGTGTCTGCCAGGGAGAAACTGCTTACATTCGTGTGAAATTAGACGGTCCCCGCAGCCCGAGTTATGGAAGATCCCGCTCCCGCAGCCGGGGCAGCAGAAGCAGGAGTCGCAGTCGCAGCGCCAGCCGCAGTCGGAGCAATTCACGTGGTCGCGGCCGAGGATCTCCCCGCTACTCACCCCGCCACAGCCGCTCTCGCTCCCGTTCTTAAAACCTTGCCGTCATAAATATGTTGCCCCTCTGATATGTTCCCTCATGTTTTTACCTCTGACTTTCTCCAGATGTCTATTGGTTTTTATTTTTTCGCTTTTCTTGTCCTGGTGTCCCTGTGAACGATCTTGGTATGTAGATGTAACCTTAACCTCCCTTCTCCCTTTCTTAACTTTCCCCTTTCCTCTCCCTCCTCCTTTCCCTTCCGTTTTCTTTCATTCTCTCCCCTTCTTGTCATCTCAGATTTTGAACATTACGAGTTGTGCTGTGGTGAACTTCAAAAATGTTGAGTTGTAAGATTCGCACTCAGTGTTTTTGCAAGTCTGAAGTTTCCGTTTTCTTTTCTTTTTTATTTCAATATCCTATCTTTGGATATATGTGGGGTGGGTTGTTTTTTGGTTGGAAGCCAGATGCTTAACTGTATTTTACCCTTGTGTCTTCCTTTAGACATCTGAGGAGAAGGATTAAAGTGATTTGGAATAAAACCATTGTGGAGCACATTTCATTTGTATGGTCAGGATACAAATAGGACATCTAGGAGGAGGATAGGACATCTAGGAGCAATCAGGTCGAGGCAATGGTATGCTTCATATTCCATAAACAACATTTTGACAGGTTTTTATATCGTGCATGTTATTTAACAGATTTTGGTGCTGTACTTTAAGACAGTCTGTAACATGCTACTCTGGTTTCTGACAGAATAAGCAGTCCTAAATCAAGTGTTGAGATGTAAGTGTAATCCTTGCTGTTGAAAAAAAACAAAAAAAAACTGAACTGCTTTTTACAAAAGCATCCCAGTTTTAAGCATCCTCATTGGTTAAAAATGCTTTTTAAGTCAGGAATTGGTTTCTTTTTTTTTCATTTGAGTGTTCAGTGGAAAAAAAAAATAGGCCCAAAACTCTTGACATTTTATTCTAACAGTCTGCCTCTGATTTTCTTCCTGGTATTTCAAGGTTTTGATTGGAGGAGTGGCTCAATGGATCCCAATCCTTGGAGCTGGATGAGTGGATCGATTAGGAAAGGGATAGACAAAGATGGATGCCCGGGAACGGGAGCAGATTTTCGAGGATTCAAATTTATCAGAACTAAAATAATGGGAGTCCCAGAGCACCTTTTTTTTTTTTTTCTTCTTTTTTGGCCCTTTTGGTTTAGGCCCCAATGGCTTTATTATAGAAGAAAACCAGAGGACCAGGAAGTTGGATCAAAGGATGGAGTCGTAGATGTCCGGTATGAGGGAATTTTGAAAAAATATATGGGAGGTTGGGAAGGGGGTTAAATTCTGGGAATAATTTGTAATTTTTGCTTTGCTTGAACTTTTAGCATTTTCAATAAACACACTTTCAAACAGTCATTGAGTTTGTTTTTATTTGTGAAATGTAAACATTCTGACTTTCATAATCCATAGGAATAATGTTTATTGTCAATTTGAATTGTCATACGTTTACAGTGACCGAATATTGATATTGAGAGCAATTTGGCTCTTATCTGCAGACTTTAGTTGGATCTGGTTTTATCCACAATAACAATGGAGACTTTTTTTCACAGCTTTTGGATCATTTATGTTTAGCTTTTTAAAATCAAATTTTACTGGCAAGCCAAAGAGTGACCTGTTAATCATCTTAAACAGAAAAATAAGAAGGAAAGTATGCAGTCTGTAAACCAGTATATATGTATTTTTTAATTGCTCTAGTTCATATCTTGATGTTGGAGCACACAAATTAAAAATCAGAAGGAGAAAGCTTTATTTGAAAAAGTTGATCTCACTTGATGCTAAATGCAATAAAATAAAATAATATGAGATAATTACGCAGATTTTAGAATTGATTTGAATATTCATTAAACACTAAAAACATTACGGATGATAGATCTGATTCCACATCAATTCCTTCCTTACAATTTAAATAGGCTTTAAGCTGATTTTGTTAAAATTTCGATTCATGTTCTGCAACTTTAATTCTAAATACCAGAAATGTGAAATATTTAATCTGATGATGCAGGACTTCTGTTTTGAAAAAGACTGTGAAGATAAGACAACAATTAGCCTCTTTTTTGTGCACAGAACTGTGAATGTAGAAAAAAACATTGTTTTTTATCATTTAGGGTAAATACCTCCTTTTTTTTTTTTTTTTTACTTAAGGGAGTTAATTTTAAATACCAAACTCCAGTGGCGGTTCTATCAGAAATGTACCAAAGGAGGCCAGTTTGTGGCCATTGTTTTCGAATGCGGGCAACGAATGAAAGGATAACACACCCAAAAAAAGAATAGCACAGGAACAGTTTTTAGTTTATTAAGTGCGCTAAAAGTCTGCAGTTTCTAAATTATGATTCAAGTTAATCGTAAAGATGAAATATTAAATTTATCTAAGGGACTAAAGAGATATGGCCTCTTTTGTCAGTGCATAACATAAACTAATTTACTATTCCACCGCAAAAGCTGAACTAAAAAGTTTCTTTTTTAAATCTGCACATTTGCCTTAATACGAGCAATTAAATAAGATGATCTGCCAAAGGAAGGTTTATCTCCTTAAAGCAAAAATAATTAGACACATTTATTTATTTTTTTAAACAAATCATCTTATTCAATCAGCAAATTGTCTTGCCTAGATTCCTAAGTACTGCATGGGCTGGCAAAAAATTTGGTTGATTAGACTTTTTTTTTTTTCTCTATATATATTCCCCCCTGCAATTTTTTCCCACTAATTGAGCTTTCTTTAAATAGCCATTAACATGACTTTAACACACTGTAGTAAACAGATAAATGGAGGCAGAAGATGTCTTTTAGTCATCAATGCACACATTCAGTGACATACAGGAGCTCTTTCTTGCTGGGCACCATTTCATTCACAACACCTGTCCCGTCAACCAGGAATCAGAATCAGAAATACTTTAATAATCCCAGGACACAATTACTTCTGTTACATTACTTCATCTGTAATAGACTATAGGACCGGTTTGATATAACACAATTTTATACAATATATATAATAAGGGGGTCCCCGCCCCATCTTGTCATCAGTTTGGGGATCCTGGGCCAGGAAAACGTTGAAGACCCCTGGTCTAGGTAATATGTATTGCAATCTTACATTTTTAAAGTTTATGGTTTCAGAACCGGGGACAGTTCTACAAGGACACTGGCCCCTGTTGGCCCTCATCTAGAACCGCTCACTATGGTATCTGGACTTTTACTTCAGTAAACATTGTCAGTACAGTAGACATTAGTGTAGGAGCTTTGAAGCCCTGCAACAGTTATGCATGGGATGGATAACCTTTCTGAAATTTGACGTTATTCAAGTTCAGTCTCCCACTTGGGAGTAAATATCAGGATAATTTAATACTTTATAATAAGCAGTTTTGAACAGTCAAACATCTTAGGATGTATAGTTGTATCCTGGTTCTGTGTGTGGCAGTGTTTTCCAGTTAGTTTAATAAATATGCATGCTCTTCAAATCAAGGAAATGTGGCGCACTAACATTTAGAGGCGCGTTCAAAGGGCCTCAGCTGCGCTGCAGGCCAAACGACATCCTCCTAGCCAAGCGCGGTCCACTTTCCACTTCATCTTCCAGTCGCTGTCGTATGCTGTGAATGATGCATTATGGGATGAAATAAGATGCAGACAGAGAGGAGCTGGAGAAAAACGCTCGCGCCGCGTTTGGAAGCAGCGCCGCAACCAATGGCAGCGCTCGCCATGCAGCAGATGGGGCGGGGAGCAGTGCAGAGCCAACCTACCTTCAACGCTGATTGTGTAAATCTTTAAAAAAAATAACAATTAGCAGCAGCATCATCTCAACCTTCCAACACCGACTCTTTAAAATAAACATTTCTAACACAAGGACCCTTTTTTTTCCTCCATCAGAGGCGCAGGAAAAGGTGAGTTGCGCCGCCCTCATCTAGAAGATTCACTTCAATGTTTGGCATCTTTATGTGATCATCTTCTGTACTGTACATCTTATTGCATGTTGAGTGTTTATTTGCATATTTAATCTCCCCCTTTTTCCCCAAATGTGTGTCACCCAAGAATATTAACTAAACTGTTATCCGTATTTCTTTCAATTTTGACGCAAATGTATTTATAGCGAAGTAATTTAACTCCACCTGTATCAAGTTTCACAGCAAATGTATGCAAAACTAATCCCGTAGTTTGGAGATGATGTGACGTAGAAGCACAGAGTCCAGGTAAATGTTTTCATTGAAGCGATCAAAGCCGCCGCACAGAGAGGCTTTCTGCGTTGGAAATAGGGAGGATTTGGCCCCGGCGTGTAGGGACCCCATCCCCATCCACATCTCCACCACGTGTAGAGTCAGTTTCCCTGTTTCTTCCCCAGCAAGCAGCGTGAACCATGACTGACAGGAAAGCAGTGATCAAGAACGCGGACATGTCGGAGGACATGCAGCAGGACGCAGTGGACTGTGCCACCCAGGCCATGGAGAAGTACAACATAGAGAAGGACATAGCTGCCTACATCAAAAAGGTGAGCCAGGAATGGAAATCAGGTTTATGTGGAATACAATCATTCCATCATCATCAACAAAGTGCAAAAAGTTTTAAAATATTTAAATCACTTTGGTTAAAAAACTCAGCAAAGGTCTAAATCTGCTCCCTGGCCCAAAACAGTTTGTTCTCTTAAATCCAATTTGGTCATAATCTGGTCCACATGCAGATCAGCAGAGTGTTTATGTGATTCGATTTCAGTTTGGATGGAGCTGGTACATCCCGAATGAGCACCACAGGGTGCCAGTGTTAAGATTAGAAGTAGAGCTATGGTGTTATCAGGCAGTAACTGGAGCATCCAACCATCTAAGTGGTTAATTAGCTGGGCTATCTGCTCCACTGGTCAGCAGGGAATTGATGGATGTATGTCCTTTATCTGTAAACTAATTTAAAAAAATCTTTTTTTTATTGATAGTTTTGGCTTTAATTGCCCTAATATGTGGCTTTTTTATATATAAGTCAGGCAACCTGGTTTTAGAAGTTTTCCTGCTTCAGCACAGCTGATTTTCATTGATAGCTGATTAACAGGCTTTTATTGAACTGCAATCATCAGAATCAGCTGTGCTAAAGCAGAGAAACCTCTAAAACCTGCAGGACAGTGGTGTCACTACCCGATTCGTCCCTAAAGCAGGATCCGTACCATCGGCTCATTTGTGCATGCGCTACCAGATGTACATCCGGGTTTCAATAAATAATGTATTTATGGTACTAAAATTTATTATTTCTATCCTTAACTCACTAAAGAATTCTGATGCACATCTTTAAAAAAATGTTTTATGACTTTTCTGGGACAATTTTGAGTCTTTTTACATTTTCTCCATTAAACTTCTTGTCTGACGTCATCATCAGACATGCTCAGAGCAGTCTGGCACAATATAGGATTAAACTATGTTAATCTGCATTTTGGTTGTTTTTTTCTTTAGGTTACGAACTATACACCATAATGTTAACACGAAAGGAAAACATAAAACTCAAAAAGACGAAAATCGAAAAAGTTAGCTCTCGGAGGTAGTGTAGGATTGCATTTCAGATCGGCCACAGACGAATGATACAACATAAAGGATTTTAAGTAATTTATTTTCTCAGGAAAAAAGAAAAAAAATGATCTGATGGTACGGCTCGTGCTTCCAGTATGGATCAAGTGGCCTTCGAGGACCGACTTTGGGCGTGCCTGGTATAAGTTATACATACTTGAAGTTTTAGCTCTTATCAGATTCCGGTCTAATTAGTCTTGTCTAAGGTTACCTGTGTGTTTGGTGACCGTCACTCATTTGGACTGTCAGACTCTGGCAGCGGCCTGTAACACTAATGCTCCACTGCTGATGCACATTTCATCTTGCATTTTGAATTAAATTGCTGGTGTGCATGGATGCTAAGTTATGTTCAGATTATTTCTTTTGTTTACTTCATTATTTTAAAGGACTTTGAACTTGTTCTTCAAAGGACTGTATGACTGATGTTCTGACTTTATTCCCATGATGGTTTTTCCCAATATTACCACTTAATTCTCACAATATATCTATATTGTTTTTGTTTTGCAATGGTATCCCCTTTGTCTTATTATATTTTTATTTTGTTCTCCTGACTTTTTTCCTTTTAATATTAATAATTTTGTACCTTTATTCCATAAAAAAGAATATGGCACATATTCTTTTTTAATACACGAATTCCATTGCATTCCTAAAGATTTATCTTTTGGAAAGATACAGAGTAAAAAAGAGTTGAGTAGTTTACTCTAGTGTCTAGAAAATATTTTTTTCTTGTTTTCTGGTTTTCCTGTGAGATTCACATTGTGATGAGCAGGATGAAAGGATGTTATCACAAAAAATAAATTATTTTTTAAATAATTTTATTTATATAGGATAAAAATATGTATTTTTTTTTTCATTCTAGCCTTTTATATCCACTCCCAGCATATCTTGATTGTATTATAAAATGTATTGGTCCATTTCCACCATCTGTCCTGATCGACGATCTCTCCCGGTAGCTCCTCTCTGCCATATTCAATATGGCGGTGACACTAATGTTTAAGCCAGCACACTAAGAGGCATCTACCTATTCATGTCTATGGCCGCCAGGCCTCAAGTATAGCGACATCACCTAAGTAGAACTTGCCTGACAACATGAAGTAGAGTAACGCGTCTCAAAAAAGCAGCACAATGTTCCTATCAAAAGATCTCAGAACAGCTGAGAAACAAAAGCACAAATTCATAAAATGAGTAACAATTTTCCCATCATTGTTCACCCAACCAAAATCACTCCAAAAGTCTTATAAACAGTGGTTGTAGTACGCAAAAATGTTACTCAAGTAAGAGTAGAACTACTTCAGCAAATTTTATACTCAAGTAAAAGCAAAAAGTAACTTTTAAAGAAATTACTGAGGAGTAAAAAGTATTTGGTAAAGAAGCTATGATCAGAATTCATATTTTACAAAATGGTGTAAAATTGAACAAAATATTTATTAGTTATTCATAAAAAAACAAAAAACAAATTTCACATATCGCAGTAATTATACAGTAAATATTTTGGTTGAATAAACACTATTCAAAATGAATGTTTTGAGTTCAAAAAACGCATAAAAACAACACTTACAGTAAGTAAGAATGCATTAAATTATGGTACACTGTTAACAGTATTTTCACTCAATTTTGAAATGACATGACAGAATCAGCAGATGGGAAATAATATTTAACCAATAAATATATTTGTATACTTCAAGCTTGTTTTCATTGAGTGAAGTTACTCACTATGGATGGAGTAGCCATAAATTTATTCAAGAGTACTGATCAGATTTTTGCTCAAGTAAAAAAGAAGAGCGCAGTGCTGTAAAACAAAAAAATAAAAAATTTTCTCAAAGTTTCTTAAAGGTATAGTGGAGGATTTTTTTTGTGCAAATTTTTGAGGAGACCCGCAATCTCCACTTTCAAAAAAAGATGCACATGCACAATCCTGTATCTGTTCCTGAGAGGGAACGCATATATTAAACGAGTGCGAGAGCATGCATGAGCCCATTTCTCCTTGTGCACGCTGTTTAAAAGTTGCTGTTTGCATTGCTAATGCAAGCTTACTTCCCAAAAGAAGATTTGCAATTTTTTTAAAACCAGTAAGTGAAAATGGGGATGAGCACATAAGACGGCATTACGTAAACATATCAACAGAGTGACTGACAATTAGGAGGACCACTTATTTAGATGATCCACCAAGAAAAACCACATCTGTCACTATACCTTTAAGTAAACGTAACAGAGTAAATGTAACTAGTTATTACCGACGTCTGCTTATAAAGTTTGTCAAACAATTAACCCAGAGCAATATGAAAAGCATTGAAGACTTACTTTAACAAGTTAAAGTTAACATTCACGAGAATATTCCAGCGATTAACAAGAAGCTGTTCCCCCAATTCACCTGATTTAAAATAAAAGAAATCCTCATACCAAGAGTCAAACATGGTGCTAGTGGACAATGGACAGAATCATTGGTGGAAGTAATTAAAGCCTGCAGTTGACTAAAGGGGAGCTGCTATGGCATGAGCTCAACTGGCCTTTAATGGTGAAAAATTTGAATAATTCAAAGACTAATTGTCAGTTATCAGAAACAGCTAATTCCTGTAAAGGTTTTTATTCTAATGCTTTTTATTCTATGTTTGATATGAATATAAAACGGGAAGAAAAGCAAAAATGTCTGTGTTGTAAAAAGTTAAATATTTGACGACTTACCTATTAGTTTGTCGGAAATTTGGCTTTAAATGAAAAAGGGATTTAATGCAAAGATTAAAAAGTTTACATTAATAGTAAACAAAGCATACCTTGCTCTTAATAAATGCTAGTGTTTTTAGCATTAAAGATAATGGCCAATAATCCTTTCCTCTTGTCTGTGTTTTTTTAGGAGTTCGACAAGAAGTACAACCCAACCTGGCACTGCATCGTTGGGAGGAACTTTGGCAGCTACGTCACTCACGAGACAAAGCATTTTATCTACTTTTACTTGGGCCAAGTGGCCATTTTGCTCTTCAAGTCTGGCTGAGTTTCCGATGAGTGTCGAGGAGTTTTTCCTCCCTGAAACCTAAATTGGAAATGCACTGGT